CAGCGAAGTATGTCTCAATAAGCACATTCAATCCAGAAAGTGCCGACTCAAGTTCTGTGTATGCAGCAGAGAATGCAGCCAATTGGTGAGAGTCAAGGTCAAGAACAAGTGTGGGTTCATCAAACTGAATCCAAGTAGCACCAGCTGCCTTCAACTCAGCAATAACCTCCCTACAAATCATCATGCATCAAATTATGAACTGAAGATTTAGCGCTAGCAGCAGTTATAGACTTGTTTGTACACTTACTTGTAGACAGGAAGGATGCTGCTCAGAAGGGAAAGAAGAGCGAACGACTTCTCTACACCCTTGGCAGGTTTGGAGAGCAACAAGTATGAAACTGGTCCAACAAGTACTGGCACGGTGTCAACGCCGAGCTGCATGAAGAACAATTACATGAGACATACAAACGACCAGATTACATCTTAATTTTTAAGAAAACACTATGATTTTCAATCCAGAAGGAATACTACTTAATTCAGAATTTGATGCTTAAAAATAGAAATGTTACTATTCACAAACTGGAACAAGATAGTAAATTCAACCAAAGCATGTTTCAGGTAAACTCACCAATTAAGCATAGGTAAAATCAGACAATTTCGCCACAAACAACATGGACATCTTTTGAGAAAGATGGAAACAACATATAGTGCTAAAAAAACATTATTTCATAAATGTAAAGTGAATTTTAGTCTTTGCAAATCTGAAATTGCTAGTTTCAAAATACTAAACAAGGGGCCAAAAATTTGCTTGGACACGAGTATTAACACTGAACTTAAACAAACTGTCACTTGGAGGGCATGTGATTTACAGGCCATCAATCTGAAGGAGTGACAATCTTCAAAAAAAATCATGGTAAGCATGCCATTTAATGTACATCAGAATTTCTTTTCTAGGACAAAATTATTAAGCAAATGCACTATAATAGCAGAAAGCAACACGCTAAACTAATAAGTAACTTTACGAACTAAGACATTAATGACAATAAGAATGTGTTAGCAACGCCTATGTAGTCAGGCAGAGAAAACAATCATGAACCAGACAGAGACGTAAGATGTAATCCTAGTATCTTACCGCCTTAGCCTCCTTGTATTCATTCACAGCCTTGTGGGAAGAGTAGGAGAACTTGGTGTTGGGACCAAGTTCAGGGACGATAAAGTGGCTGTAAAGGCACAACAGCAGCAGTTAGCAAAATGTTGAATGTGAAATCTAAATAAAATGTTACTGTCAGACAGCTTAAATGGAAGCAAAGGACTTACTAGTTGGTGTCAAACCACTTGGTCATCTCCATGGCAGGGACAGTGGCATTGCCCCTAGCCATCGAGAAGTAGGTGCTGAACCCAATCTCTCCACCAGTCCATGAGTAGCGCTCTGGGACAGCACCAAGCATGGCAGCCGTGTCAAGAACCTGATCATAGTACGAGAAGGTGTTGCTGGGGATGTACTTGATCCCAGCGTCAGCCATTTGCTTCCAGATGCTGGCCCTGAGGTCGGTCGCAACCTTCTCCAAATCCTCAGCGCTGCTCTTCCCATCCCAGAAAGACTCCAGGGCAAACTTGAGCTCCCTCTTGGGGCCCATGCGGGGGTACCCAACAATGTGAGACGCCATCTTTCTATAAAAAAAATACAATTGTACTACCATCAGTTTGATTCAAATAAATGCCATGTGAATACATAGGAAAATTCATGATTTAGCTAACAGGATTACTCAGATCCATATTCTAACCACTAGATGTAGAACTCCTTGTTAAATAAAAAAACACGATAATGAAAGGCATGCCACTGTTTTCCAACTGAACGGATACTAACATCACGTTTGAAGCGGTTATCCAAAAACATTTTATGCCATCCAACTATTAAAACATACTTTTTCTGTTTTATGTTCTCCCACAAATCTTCTGATCCCTATAGATGGGGTTATATCACCAGATCCAGTGGCACTAGAAGAATAAACTAAACTAATACTAGTATATGGGTTAGGTACACCACCAACCAGCACTAGAATGTAGGACCGAGCCCCAAAGGGTGGGTACATAAGACCAACTAAAATTGGTGGGAGATCACTGTCCCTCTCACACCCGCCCGCAGCAAAGTTGATGGGTGTTGTTTGGCATACCATACAAACAACAATTCATTATTAACATACAGAAAATTCCTAACTTCTAATCAATAACACTGAGATGGAAACCAAATGACAGTAGATGCGATAGTACTGGAAGCACGATCCTACATGTACAGATCGCACGGTCTAGTACACCGTAATGCATTTCTTTACCTACTTAAAAAAATTGAAGTGTTCATGTCAGGTGTGAAGCATTCCTAGAATTAAGGTGAGTTAGTGAGCGTCCTGACAAACAAAATATTATGGCATTCTAGATTCTCTTAACATATCAATATTCTTTTATAGAACTTTCTGGATACAACAAAAGGGACAAAAGCTGAGATATTACTGTTTACTCTTCTGTTGCAATTTTTGTTCTTTCAATCTTCAGACCCAGAGGAATGGTCAACATCAGGACCAGATGCATATTCATGTTTAAACTCTTAATACTTATAAAACCTTTTTTTTGTGAAAGCACGTTGAAGTATAATAAATCTATTAAATAAACTTTTTATCAATTGTTGGTCAAAAATCAAAATTTCAGAGTTTGATTATTCAAAATCAAAATATGCCCAATAAAACTGAATGGAGGTACCAATGTTTATGTAATTTTAATTTTTCCTGTTTGCAACGAGCAGGCAATTTTTCTAGTATATAATAGAATATCAGAACAGAAATAGAGAAAAACATAAGTCAACCCGGACTAAACCTCAGCATCAGATCCAAAACCCAACCACCGGATGGATAGACGAGTGAGTAGTGAACAAACCACGCTTGGCATGAACACTTGAAATTTAAAATAAAACCTAAACTTTTTCGGCGGAAGAACCGCAGATCCAATCGTAACCGGACCCATGCAACACACACCGACAGAAACAAAAAAAAAATCTAAATAATCTTCCACTCCATTTCCGGAGCATAATCCCCCAGATCTAAGCACCTAACCACACATCATTCAGATCGGATCCCATCAACTCGGAACAAAGACTCTCGATCAATCAATCCATCCATGCATCCAATCAAGACGACGAACAGGATCGCAACGCGAATGGACACGGATCGACGCACGAACGCAAAAAAGAGGAGAGGAAGAGAGGCGGCGGTGCGGGGCTTACCGTGGGAGAGGGGGAGGAAGCGAGCAGCGGCGATGGAAGAGAGGAGGAGGAGGAGGACGGACGGGAGGGAGAAGGGGTTTGGGAGGGCTTATTTATAAGAGAGGATATATATGCTTTGCTTTTTTTTTCTTGGTTTTTTGTGATGTGTGAGAGTGTGCTTTTGGATGGTGGGGGTTGGGGGTTGGTGAGATCGATCTGGTGGTGCACGGTTTTTTAGATGAAAAGTTTCATCTTTTTCATGGAGTAATATATTGTTACTGTGTTGTAACGGAATTTTAATTAAAATTTGTTATTAAACTATTATTATCGTTAGTTTTTACCTATATAATTCTTATTTCTATATATATTTATTACCGACATATAAGCTCTTTGGTCCATGTGAAACTTCTGACCCCGCATGTCATTTTACTTTCTACAGGGAAGGGAGTTGGTGGTGGGAGTGGTGGCACATTTACCAGTTTATCGCTCACCACCGCCACTACTCCCTTTTAAAATGAGTATAGATATTTTGGGATTGTTTCTTCCTTTATGTCTTGTGTTGTTTGGTATGATTATTTATGTTTTCTTTTATATGTATTTCTAGCTTCACGAATTTTTATAGATTTAGATTTGTGATTACATTAATAAGATTTTGAATAACATTTAGAAACTTGAAAATAATATCGAGTTGTGCCAAACAGGGCATTAGACTATGGTGGGATTTTGATTTTTTTTCCCTTCGATGAAAAACACATTTACACATCAATTTTATGGGATTTTTACAGTTGCCCCTTTTCCCATAGTACTATAACATGCATATTTTAACTAAAGAAGTTTTACCATCTAATGTTTGGTACTTTGAGGTATCACAAATTTTTAGTATCTCGAGGTATTTTCTAGTGTAAAATTTGGTACCTCGAGGTATCTAGTATCCCAAGGTACCAAAATTTTGTGTGCAAAATGTGGTACTTCGAGGTATCAAATGTTGAATGGTAAAATTATCATTTTAACTATTATGATTATCATCTCAATTGCATCATTAGAACTACATTAGAAATTATTATGTAATTATCTCGGTGGCTAAAATATCCATTTGTAGTTTCAAGTATACATGGGTTGTGATTTGGTTTGTTTTCCCAAGAAAATGGAGAAACATTTTTCAGATTATTTGTTGTAAGTTTGATCTGTTTTCACTGCCCATCAACCACCATAATAGCAGTCTTGTCAGGAAACAATAACATATAGATTTTTTTTTCATACTGTTGTTTACAACATATTCTGACCAAACTAAAAAAACACGAATATTAGGGAAGAACTTAATATCAAATACCCAGGTTGTCTAGCCAACCACCTTGTGAAGCTAGCCGGAAGACCCCTGGTCTCGTTTCTCATATAAACAATTGTTTAATGTTAGATAAGGTTTACATATCGCATTATTTTAGAAAAAAAATATTTATATAGCTATGATTATGTACCCAACTCAAGCCAATTGTGTTTCCACCGAAACAAAGTCGCCTTTGGGAAAGCTTGTCTGCCTTTTTCCACGGTTATGCATGATGAGGCACGCCGATTAAATTATGGTTTACCACATCGTATTATCAGCTAATGCTAGCTAGCTATGCATGTATAATGTATTCATGTAACAAATGTGACATAGTTTTTTTTAGAGCCCAAAGGCACATAATTATTGAGAGAAATATAGCATGGTTATTAGCTATAGTGACCAATCAAGCATGGTCTTTTTCTCCATAAAGTAAACAAATGGAACAAGTAAACATGGAGGATCAGAGTAGGTGAGAGGCTGTGGTTGGTGAGATGGTGGCTGGAGGCTACTTGCAAGATTCTCACAGTTTATTAATTTTGTTTGATTTAGTTTGGTTCAGCATACACTTTTCCTTTGGAATGCTATAAAACATCATAAACAAATAAATATACAAAGAATTCAATCCTCTTGAATAATTTGTGAAGGAACTTGGGTGTATCCAACCATTTGCCCAAAGCTCTTTGAAATTTGGATGAATCCTGAGAAGAGCTTGGAGAGGAAAATTTCTTGAGACGAGGTGTGACTTAACCATTAAAGTTTCCTTTCTTTCTTTCTTGTTTGTTCCCTTGTTTTTCCTTTCAGCTAAAGTTTTAAAACTCCCCTTCTCTTAATCCTACAAAAGATACGCAAGGCTTTTACTTATTCTTTTAAAAAAAAGCTGAACCATTAGAGCAGGTACAATAGAAGGTTATAAGACAACTATAAACATATTTTAAAGAGATAGCCAGCTACAGCACGGACTCCAAAACATAATGTGTGTATAATAGGTGGGACCAGATATTAATAGTATAGTAAGCAACTATTGTATGAATTAGCTATTACATTGACTATAGATGATTTAGAGTAGTTGGCTATACTGTTAAACTTGCTCTTAAGCCACAGTTATTTCTTCACCTGGAATTGTGTGCAACTATGTCTGGATTCAATGAACCTTTTACTTTTACCAAATCCCACTTAGTCAGTACTACTATCATTCTTGACATGGAGTGTAACAATAGTTTAGCCAACCAATGCAAAAGGTTAAAGAAGATTTTGTATGCTGTAGTAGTATATAATATTATATGCAATGTTACTGAAATCAGAAATGCACCAACTCCTAATGCCAATGTCTCTGCATCATACAGAACATGGAACTGAGCACTGACTATCTTAGAACTCAATGCAAACCATGTGGAGGCTGGAGCAGTAGGAGTAGTGGAAATTTAAAGTGTTTCATTGGAATCTTGATTTGATCGTGCCAATCAAGTATGAACATGGAATATATTTGCAATTCTTCACTCCAAGCACATCTTAACTGGTGTTCCTCCTACCCTAACAACCATGATGTGGTCACCTTAGCTGCAAACATCTCCTCATTTTGAATCATGGAAAGTCCATTTTCTTGAGTAAGATTTAGCAGGAGTTTATGTGTTCATGTCATGGTAGAGGGGAGTTGATCAATGATGCTTACCCATTTGCTTGCATAATATGTGGGGCCCATGGCAAAAGAGAAAAAGGAAGATGTTAGGTGCTCCTAACTCCCATGAGGTTGGTGGATATCAAATGAAAATGACATTGTGTGTCCATGTATTTCTTCTTCCTCTTTAGAGCTAAATGTTAGGCATGCATTTCATTTTCAAGGTTGCAAATCATGGGAAGTTCACACTTACTTGGAAAACCAGGAGTGCAGGTCACAGAATTCAGAATTTGAAATAGAAGAAATTTGTGGCTGTGATTCACCAAGGATGGGGTAGTTGAGCCAAATCATCTCTGTGCAGGGGTCAAAACTCAAAAACTGGTCCATAATTTCCATAGCAGAACAGATTTCTACTTACACATCGCTTTCTGAGAAGTGAATCTTTGTCAAGACCACACAGGCTGCCAAGAAACATGTCATGATCCAAGAATCCCTGCAAGAAAAGTAACAACTCTTGAAAAAGAGATCCTGGAATATGCTTTGTGAGCTCAAGTCTTAAAAATTTATCTTCTGCAGGCAGGAGAGAAAAAAAGAGAGCATAATATATAAAAACTTGAGCTGTTGCTGAAGCAGTGAAGCTGTAGTCCAGGAGTTGACCAGCTAGCACGTCGTGCTATTCTGATCAACTGATGAGCTTCAGCTTCCAGTCTGGAAGAAACAAGTGGAGCTTTACCTTCCATGGGATAAATCTTGCAGTGTTGCTTTGCTTCAGGTAGCTTCAGATGCAGCATCCAGACAATTTCAGGCTTGCAGCAACAAGAGATCACTGTGTCGATATGCAAATGAAAGCTAGGCATTGCTACAAGCAAAACAAGTACTACCATGACGAGGGTCCAGTGATTTAGGGTCATCAAGCTGAATGGCTGACAGCAAACAATCACTTCCTGACATCCCTGACGAAATGTTGGGTGAAAAATAATTGGCTACACCACCATAAATGGTTATTATTACGTAATTCCTCCGTTTCATAATATAAATAATTCTAACATTTTCCATATTCATATTGATATTAATGAATCTAAACATATATATTCATTAACATCAATATAAATATGAGAAATGCTAGAATGACTTACATTGTGAAACGGAGGGAGTATTATATACTAGTAATGTATAAACGAGTTAAACAATCTTATTGTAAAGTTAAGGGATGACAGATGATCTTATTCTCGAGGCTTTCGGTCTACCTGCGGCCCATCTGTGTTGAGCCGGTAAAGTGTTGTAACTCGCCTGCGGCCCAAGAATGAGATTGAGAAATGGAGAAAACGTAGTGGGCCGTCCACAAGCTACGGCCCACTAAAAAGTAGTGGGCCAACAAAAAGACGGCGAGCGGCTCATCCCCGACAAGGCGACAACCTCTCCGACGACACGGCGGCGCCTCCACTCCTCCCTCCGGCGAACTCCGCCGCCGCCGCCGGCGCGACGGCAGTACGGCCTCACCGCATGCTCCCCCGCTTCCCCGTCTCGCTCCTCCGGTCTCGCAGCCTGCTGCGAGGCAGCGCCCGCCGCGGCCTCGTCACTGCGATGGCCGGAGCCCGCGGCGGCGGCGGCGGCGGCGGGGAGGATGGCCAGCTCGGGGAGTTCTATGAGTACATGGAGCGGCTGCGCAACTACGAGCGCTCCGGGGTGCCGCGCGGCGCCGGGACCGACTCCGACGACGGCTTCGACCTCGGCCGCATGCGCCGCCTCCTCCGCCGCCTCGGCGACCCCCACACCCACTTCCCGGTGAGACCCCCCACCACCCTCTCCTTACTACCACAGCCTCACAGCTTTGCCTTGAAACTTGCAAGAAACTAGTAAAAATATAAGAATGGGATAATGCGTGATTTTGCTGGGGCATTTGCTTGTTTCAAGCATTAGGCATCCACCTTGCATATGAATCATGATTTCACTTTGCATGGAAGCAATGCGATGGATATTTGGGTGAAACTGAACTGATGTGGTTATAGGCTGTTCATATTGCTGGCACCAAGGGGAAAGGTTCAACTGCTGCATTCCTGTCCAATATCATGAGGGAACAAGGCTACAATGTTGGATGCTATACTAGGTACTCCACGACATCACTGTGATTATTTAATCACTTATTTTTTTTCTAGTTGGAAAATGTATCTTGTTAATTGACTGTTCGATATACAATGAGGATGTGAAGGATCTATGATATATTTCTGTGTTGTTTCCTTTCATCTTGAGTTGTTTCAAACATTTACTCACCGTATCTAGATTGTAGAGTTATACTTAAGTGAGCCTTGTTGATTTCCTCGGAGTAGAATTACAATTAAGTGATAATTATAATGCATTAAACTATGGTTGCAGCCCACATCTTCTAACAATTCGTGAACGCATCTCTGTTGGACAAAGTGGAGGTCCTGTTTCAGCTGAATTGTTGAGGGATCTTTTTGGTCATGCTAAAGAAGCCATTGGTCAATCAATAGAATCAGAAGATGGAGCCCTGACTCACTTTGAGGTATTCTCTCTTTTTTCCTCAGAGAATTATTATATGCTGGTGGATTCTTCGATTGAAAAAAAAACAGCAATAATGCATGCAAGATGAAATAAACAAAGTCTATTTTGTAACTGCTTTCTTGAATCTATGGTTTTTCTTTTATTAGTTCAGATCATTTCATGAATCTATGGTGTTGCTGCTGTCCTTTTCTTTCATCTCTTCTGAGTAAGTAGTCTAATTTTCATGTATACAATGGCAAAACTATTTCATACCAAAATATATTTGCCAATATAACATGATTACATGAACTTGCTGGTTTAAGTCCATGTCCAACTGCTAGTATAGGAAAGCATGATGGTGCCTGTAGCAATAAGGAAAAAATGGGCACCACACTTTGTTGTTAATTGCATTTTACTCTGTGATCATTTAGCAAAGCTGTGTTCTGAGTCCTCATACTGCCCTACTGCATCAGTGTTACTTTTGTTTGTTAACATTTGCACTTTTCTTTGGTTGATAATGTATTGAGTTTGTACAGTTGCTATGTTCTCACTCAATTCAAGATTAACCAAAATGCACTCACTGAGCATATTTAGTCATGTTAGAAATATTGACAGGCATTAATTTCTCATATTTCACTTCTGATGACCATGAGCTTAGAAAGTACTGCTATGGTTCTGCAGGTTTTCACAGCTCTCTCATATCTCCTATTCTCACAAGAAAATGTTGACATTGCTATTGTCGAAGTAAGTTATTTAACTTTTTTGGTGGATAGTGATGCTACTATGTTTTATAATTCTTATGGTTTGTTTTCATATATATATATATATTGCTTCAAAATGTTAAAAGTGGAGTAGAAATCAATTTTGCTTTCACAAAAGTTGTCTAGCACCTATGCACTTATATTACAAAATGTGGAAATGAAATAACAGGAATGCACCTGCCCTACTGGGGAAAAAAAAACTTTCGTGGGGGCTGCTGTCTCAAATTCAAAATATCTTTAGGAATGATTCAAGTGTTCTCTCTTTAATATTCTTTTCTATATAATTGCTCCTTGCATCAGTTGTGCAATCTCATCATCTCCGATCTTCCAATGTAACAACAGAATTTGGATACAGCTGATATTGTGGCTAACAATATGATATTAGGTGTCTACTGCAAGGCATTACTCACAATTAAATAATAGGTTTGACATAAGGCAGTTCCCAGAAGAACAAGTTTCTAAGAGTTAGCAATATTTCTAGGCCTCATTTGGAGAGTAGGATGTCTGTATTTCCAAAGTCGGTTCTAACTATTGATTTTGTTCTCTTTTATTGAGATCTAGCACTAATCAAAAGTAGGCCTCTAGGGTTTAAAACTGATTATTGAATTCAACTTTATAGCATTTGCACCTACTGTGACAAATTATTGGCTCTTCTTTCTATTGGTTGCCTAGGCAGGCCTCGGTGGAGCTAGAGATGCCACAAACGTCATACAAAGTACTGAATTAGCTGCATCTGTCATAACAACAGTAGGGAAAGAACATTTGGCTGCTTTGGGTGGTTCTTTACAAAGTATAGCAGTGGCAAAGTCTGGAATCATCAAGCAGGAGCGACCAGTTATGTTGTTCTCTCATCTTTGGCCCTTTCCATGTTCATCATGATTAATTTGCTCTTGCTTGTAATTCCAGCTTATATTCTGATTGAGTGATTAATTTTGTATTGCTTTTCTCTTATCATATTTTGATTACTGTCTTCTATGTTAATTTTGTACTTGTTATCAAACTATTTTACCAGACAAATCCTGTTTTTCTTCTAAGTGTAAGTTCTATATGTGAAGCTTCATTCCTCCAGAGGCATGAGCATGACCAGCATGGCTAAAATATTCTCATTGCAAGCACTTCTCACATGTGCCACTTCTAGCAAGAGTTTATGTGATTAAATTTGTTGAGTTGTTTGCAATGTTATTTACATATCAAGTGATGCTGCTGCATTGTGTTCAGACCAATGTCACCACAGTTCCAGGTTACCTGTATGGTTCCTGACATGGAGTTTGCTGTCTGCATACCAAATATTTTCAGGTTATAATTGGTGGCCCATTTTCCCCAGATATCGAGCAAATTCTCCGGGATAGAGCATTCTTAACACAATCTCCCGTAATATCTGCATGCGATCCCGGCATCAGGAGCATCACAAGATGCATTGGTTGGGATTGTGGAAAACCTTATCAAAGCTGTGACATTGTCATCGAGATTTCAAATGATATTCCATTGGTATAGTTCCATTGCCAACCTTATCTATTTCTCCAGAAATAAGTAGGGGATTACTGATTTCTCTCTCTTTACTTATCAAGTCCAAACGATTATATTTGCAGTTTATTGAATTGCAAGATTTAAAACTCCAGTTGCTGGGAGATCATCAGCGCCAGAATGCTGTAACAGCTTGCTGCACAGCTTTATGTCTCCGTGAGCTAGGTAGTAAAACCATAAGAATGCCATCATGCCTATCAAAATTCTTCATGGATGATCTGGTCACTTCCATTGAAGTGTACTTATTGCAGTGTGTGGGTTTTCTTTTCTGAGATGGGTGTTCACTGTTCACTTGTTCTTTTACTGTGCGGTTGCTTTCATAGATTACCGTATTAGAAGATTGAATGCTTACTAGTGTGCTCTCTCTCTCTCTCTCTCTCTCTCTCTTGAAGATTTTTTCTTTGTGATTCTTCATTTGCATCTCCACCTTACAGTCGTTGAGTTATTGGCATAATTCTAATCTGTTTTCATCCTATCAAATGGCTTTGGGAAGTTAAGGATGGAATATTTCTGATACATCAATCCAAGCTGGTTTAGAGAAGACACAACTGCCCGGGAGAAGCCAATTTCTTACAAAAGAGGAGACTTCAGTACTTGGGCTTGATGGAACATCCAGTGTACTTGTCGATGGAGGTCTTTTACAATGAGCTATTCTTAAGTTTTTTTCCTCCTTAATGTCCCTTCATTCATCTAATGTTTTAAACTTTTCAGCCCATACCGAGGCATCAGCAAAGGCTTTATCAGATGTGATAAAAACTGTCCAACCAAGAGGGCCTTTGGCTCTTGTTGTTGGAATGGCCAATGACAAAGAACACTTGGCCTTTGCTGAACAGCTTCTGTCAGGCAAGATTTTTCCCACTCTAAACATTTCAAATCCACACGCATCGGATCAATTGGCTTATTATTTGATTTTAAGCACAAATTCATGAATGCCGTCTCATGAAGACCTTAGGGATACTATCATCCCATCAATCCATGTCATTCTTCGCCATACAAAAAACCATTTCCCTTCATTTGGGGCGAGAATTGCAATCAAATCTTTTTGTTTGCTTATAAGGCACGTTTTTTTTTTGTTACAGGCCCAAGACCAGATGTTGTATTGCTGACAGAGGCGAGCATTGCTGGAGGACGCTCCCGGTCTATGCCAGCTTCATCACTGAAGGAGATATGGATGGCTGCTGCACAAAGCCAGGGCATCAGCTGCTACTCGGACATAGGGACGATCACCGGCGTTGAAGCTCCGATCATCGCCAGCCGTCCCACGACATCCCGGTCCTTGAGCGGTGACAAACCCATGCTGATTGGATGTTGCACGCCATTTTCGTCCGACCTGATCAGGGTTGCCTCTCGGCTGCTTCAGACCCAAGAAGATGGCGACACTGGGCTGATCTGCGTGACCGGCTCCTTGCACATGGTTTCGTCAGTTCTTGGACAGCTTAGGCAGTAGCTGCCTCTGTTGATGAACATGACTGGAGGTAGCTAGCTTGCAACAGGCTGGTACACAATTACTCCCTCAGTTTCTAATCACTAATAAATACATTGTCATTTCACAAATGTCAATACATTTTCCCTAAACTTTCCTCATCTTACTTGTCTAACCAGGTTTGCCTACCATGTTTCCTGTGATTGAGATATTAATGAGGGTATTTTGATCTATATATTAAAACCAGCTATCTTACTATGTACTCCCTCTGTTATAAGGTGTTATATTTTTTTCTCAAGTCAAGCAAGTTTGTTGAATAATATAATAGTATTTCCAACAAAACAAATATACTATGAAATATATTTAATAGTGGATTTAATGAAACTAATTTGGTATTGCAAATGTTATTTTATTTTCTATAAATTTGGTTAAACTTAAAGAGTTTGAACATAATACAAACCCGAAAAGATCTTAATAGCATAATTATAATATAATATAGAATACATAACTCGGTCAAAACTGTGTCAATCATTGTAAAATATAGGGACATGGTCAACTCTCCCACAATGGTTGAGAGGGTGGTTTTCTTTTCTCTACTTTACTTTACTATCTTACTATCATCCAACTGTTGGAGCCGGGTCATTCATTCCTACTGTCGTAGTGTCATTAGCATTTGCATGTGATGGGTGCAAGAATTATAGCGTGAGTGAAACGCCGTGTTTGTATATGGCACGTTGTGTGGTTTGGAGAAATACTGCTCCTGATGCCCATTGTTTTGTGGTACAGCTGATGCTTTGTTGGTGCTGGAATCTTGTTTGCTTTGACAGGTTGCTGTCGGTGCCTTGCCCTGGAAAAAATCTCTCTTCCTTCTCTTCGTTTGGACCTGAAGCTGAGGACAGAACAGCAGCGTGTGAAATGTGTGAGGCTGGAGTTTTTTTTTATTTTTTTTTTGAATTTTTAATTTTAAAAATAAACTCATTCAAAACTTGATCTGAATCTTTTGGCTACGCCTCGTGGTAAAACAACACTGTTACGTCGGTCTGGCTAGTATGACACCGTTATTTGGTCAGGTCTTTTTTGCTGGTGTTAGTGTTGTTTCCAAAAGGTTCAAAATAAATTTTAAAATGGTTTATTTTTTAAATGAAAAAAAATCGACGCTGAATGGATAGAGAAGAGGTTGGTTGGCCTGTACAGGTAAGGTACTGTACCTTGTAGGAGTAGCTACTCCTAGTGGCGACTGCATTCATTCATCCGTTTATCCATTGATTGATGATCCATCCATTCGTACGTTCCTAGGTGGTTTTGTGGGCCCACCTTTGAGGAGCAGGGACACGTGGCAGTGCCACCTGTCGATCTGTGGTGGTTCACTCACGAGCAGTACTACTGCCACTTTGTCCTCACTGTCCTGTCTGTGTCCTCCTGCTAACCAAACTCGTACAGTAATTAATTGGTACTTTAATTGTCTGTTACTCTTCCGTCTCAAATTAGTTGTAGTTTTGATTTTTTTTTTCTTTGCAACCTTTATCATTCTTCTTATTTAAAAAATTAATGTAAATATAAAGTCATACTTAAATTACTTTTGATAATAAAGCAAATCACAAACAAAATAAATAATAATTTCATAATTTTTCGGATAAGACGAACGATCAAATATTATAAACAAAAACTCAAAGCGATAAGTATTTTAGGAGTGAGGTGGTAGTAAATGGTACTCCTACTACAACAATTAAACTTATCATTGGAATTACCTCCAAATTTATCACAAAAGCTTATATCAGTGACAGGTTTTGGAGTTGGTTTTGCATTTGTTAGAACAAACACGTTGATAATTCACTGTCCATTGTTTCGCTTATACTTATACTCATAAGTCAAAAATCTAAATTTGAAAAATAAGTTTTAAATTTGATTTTGTGGTTTTTCTATTGTAGTTTATTTTACAGTATATAAAGTTTTATCCATAAGTTATGTTTTTTTTCTAGTAAGTCGTAGGGATAAGTATAAGGATAAACATAAATGAAACGATGGTGCCGTCAGACAGTGCCCATATATGAGATAATTCAGTGTCCACTTTCATCTTCTGTTTATGAAAGTGGCAACAAAGCTAAAGAAAGCCCATGAACCAAAGAACTGGTAAAAGAATTCCTTATATGCCACATGCAAGAACTTTACTGAGATCACATTTACTCTTCCAAGCAAAAAAGGCACATAACCAACTGATCTAATTTAGGGAAAAAAAAACAGAAACGGGACATTATCATGAGATGCGTTGCAATTTGCAATTTCATCAGCTGCAAGATTCACTTTACTAACTTTTGCAAGAAAATTAAGCAATGCAATTGAACTGCAACTCCAGATGAGATCCACCTGGTCTGTCAGTATCTCTCACTAGTCTCACCCCACTGGTCGTCGGCGATGGCGACTCTTCCATTGCTGAAGAGTCATCCGTGTCCAGCTTATTACTATAGCTTGATTAGATATTTGGATTTGGATTAGCAAATTGGGCAGCCCCATTCTTTTCTCATTACTATACTACTCCCTCCATCACAGTTTAAATGCAGCGTTGGTTTTCAGCGTCCAACTTTTTTAACCGTCTGTCCGTCTTATTTAAAATCTTTTTAAAAAAACTTAAAACATAAGTCACAAGTAAAGTACTATTTATATTTTATCATCTCATAACAATAAAAATACTAATTATTAAAAAAATTTTAAATAAGAGGAGGATCAAAGTTGGACAAGGAAACTCATGGTCCCATTTAAAATGGGACGGAAGGAGTAAAATCCTTATATTTAGGAAGGGTGGAGTACTGTTTATTGTTTATTACGTTCCATGCGAAAACTTTCTATACAGAAATTACTTTCAAAAATCAAATATATATATTCGTCAAGTTTGTAATAATTAAAACTTAATTACTCATACACTAATAAATCTCTCATTTTAGTGCGCCTACTCAACCTTCAGTTTCAACTTAATTTGATACTCCCTCCGTCTCATAATATAAAAAATTTTGGATAGATATGACACATCTTATTACGATAAATCTGAACATATATTCGCCTAAAATCAATTATATAATGGGACGAAGAGAGTACTACAGTAGTACTAAGCAGGATGAAATGCTCCCCAGATTTGATACGGAGAATAGAGAAGAAAATCTGTGTTCCGTGGAATACCGGATTTGGGTAGGAAGACGGCGGTTTTGCTTTCCGCCTTCCACAAATGGCGGGCGCGCCAAAACCACCGCCACGTTTCTCTCTCTCTCTCGCGCCAAAAAAAAAAAAGAAGAAATAAATAAAATCCGGTTTCTCTCTCCCGTCGCGGAGGGTTTGCATCCCCAACCCAACCCAACCCAGCGGCGGTATTCACGTCGCTGTCCATGGATTTGATGCTGCCCCTAGTTTCTCCCCTCCCTGTTTCTAGCGCCAGTATATCTCTCCCTCCCTCGCTGCTTCTTGCACCTCTCCTCCTCCACGCATTGCTTCTTGATTCTTGATTCTTGCTGCTTCTTGCTTCTTGTTGCTGTTGTTCTTGGTTGGATCTTTGATGAAGGTGGGGAGGGGATCGAGGGGGGGAGGTGGCCGCGATGGCGGCGGCGTGGTGGAGGAGGAGAGGAGTGGCGGGGTGGAGGCGGCGCCGCCGGTGAAGAGGAGGCGGGTGGCGGTGGCGCCGTCGGCTGGGGCCGGGGGGAGCAGGCGGGTGCAGGCGGAGGCGTCGCCGCTGCAGCGGCTGTTCCGGGCTTGCCGCGCCGTCTTCAGGGGCACCGGCACCGTCCCGGCCCCCGGCGAGGTCGACCTGCTCTGCTCCATGCTCGGTGAGTCCCCTCTCTCTTTCTTTCATGCAGTTCATGTTCCAGTTTATCATGCAGATTTAGCTGGATTTTTTTTATTTGTTCGTGCATGCAACAATCTAGTAGTAAGATTACTGGTTTCGACATGTTTTGTTGAATTGTAGTTGATGATGTGTACAGTTTTTTTTTTTGGTTGGGTATGGATTTGCCTGCAGAAATTGTTCAGATGAAATGTTCTGAACTTTCTTCCTTTAGCACATGTTAATTATCACCTGGTAGCAACGGATAGCCTTTTGTCCTAACAAAATAAATATTATGGCCCATGCCTATACAGTATATGTGGGTAGTTTGTGTCTGTTTGATGAGCTGAATTAACTGAATTTGAATCGCTTGTGATGCTATTTGCAGATAAAATGAAACCCGAAGATGTTGGCCTTAGGGCAGACCAAGAATTCTTCACGGCTAGAGATGATGACGAAGGAATCCCGCTCATTAAAAACACTACATTATATGAATGCGACAACTTTACGGTAAGTAGCAGGCAGTGCACGAAACTAACTGAATTCAAGATTTACCACGATATGTTTTTCTGGTATCAAAATGGCTCATGTCTAAAACAAATTTTCTAACATTCTTCTTACCGTGCCAGATGATTATCTTCTTCTTACCACGAAATGCGATCATCCCACTGCATGATCACCCTGGAATGACGGTGTTCAGTAAACTACTTATCGGATCGCTGCACATAAGGTCGTATGATTGGGTTGATCCTGAGCCTGCCTTAAGTTGTAGTTCATCGTCGGGTGATCAATGTAAGCTTTTGAACAATTCGACACTTTTTAACGGTCGTCTGTCTTCACCATCATGCATCCTCCGCCATACTGATATTGGTAGAGTTCATTGTTGCAGTGAGGTTGGCAAAGAGAGTGGTGAATGGCGTTTTTACAGCACCATGTGATACATCAGTCCTGTATCCTACAACAGGAGGGAACATGCACCGGTTTCGAGCTATTGCGCCGTGTGCAATTCTCGACATTCTTGGCCCCCCTTATTCCACGGAAGATGGCCGAGACTGCACATATTACCGCGCTATTCCCTACTCACGTCATTCGGGTAAGTAGCAAATTCTGCAGTATTTATTTTGCAGAACATTGGTACATACTATTTTTATAGTTTGGAAATTTGAGTAATAGTTATTTTGACTTGTTGCTGCTTTAACATGATCTAAGAGGCTAAATGTACGGTTTAGGCATTGATTACTTGCAAGTGTGCAATGTATGCCTAATTGTTAGCCTATCAAATCAGTAGTTTGGCATAGGAGACGCCCACTGAATAAGGAAAGAGGTTTTGTTTGTTAAATTAACAACCAACAGATAGCTTTTTGTGTATATGAATATATGATATTGCCGTACTCCACTTGCAACATGTCCTCTTGATTGGTGTTGCGAGCACACGGTTTTGAGCTTACCTGCATGATAGGTTCCTTGACCTGTTGACCATTGGTCCATAATTGCACCAAAATTTCCTAAATCCACTTACCCTCATCATTTTCACATCTATTACCTGCATATGTTACTGCACTCGAGACTTACCGAAGCTGAATTTGCTTTTGTGTCGACAGTGAAAAATGGCGCGGCCGATCAGCTCACCGGAGTCGACGAAGAAGGCCATCGCCTCTCATGGCTAACGGAGACCATTCCGCGGATGCTGAGGATGCGCCAGATCCGGTACGGCGGCCCGCCGATCTCCGATGACGAATGACCGCCGGCTTGTCCTGATCTGAAAGAGTGATATTCCGACATGGACGGCCAGCCCAGCTGTGAATCCGTCGACGTCTAACCATGTAGTAGACAGCAGATAGCCATAGATGCAAATGCGAATCAATCATGCAGAGTTGAGCTTTCAGTTCTTGCATGCCTGATGCTGTCTTTCAGTCTCAGTGATGCCCTTTTCTTAATCTTTGGTCAGTAGTTCGTTCAGTACTTCAGTACATGTATGCGTAGACTCCAATATTTCAGTTATGTTGGATGCCCTTTTTGTATTGAAAAGTAAGAATCGATCTATTGGGGTTAAAATGTAAGGGAGTAAATTTAGACATTCTCTCTCTTCTTTTAATTTTTCAGAATTGTAAAGTATATGGTTGGGATACGACTGATAAACCGTATAACTTTTCTAAGAAGGCAACTACTCCCTCATTTCCAAATTGATCATGTATCAAGACCAAGAAAAATTTAAATCACATCAATTAAGATATCATGTACATATTCTCTCACAATGCATGCATCGATTAAAACCTCATACCAATTACACTCTAGCATTCACGCATTCGTATTCCGATGAAATTCATGTTCATGCAGTTATATGATGATGAGAAATTTTCTAGCATGCACGCATTCTCCTGTACTGCATTAATTGTATTCCGATGAAATTTATGTCTATGCAGTTATATAATGATGAGAAATTTTAGATTCTATTACATGATGATTAATTTAGGAATGAGGGAGTATTATTTTATAGGATATATTTCTACTATTATAAAAATTAAAAATGTTTTTGTCGGTATTTTGGTACGTCATCCATGTATGAGTCGGTTTTTAAGTTCATTTGTTTTTAGAAATACATATCCGTATTTGAGTTGTTTTTTAAGAGCGTTCACATTTGGTAATACAGAAGAAATCATATAATAAATTTGTTTTAAAAAACTAGCATGCTTTCTTGAGACGATCAGACTCCTAACTGCAGCTCATGATTTTCTAAAAATATATATATCCAAGCGAACTCTCACAGTAAATTTCATCTTAACTAAACCATATAACAATCGATTTTGCTATATATTTGTCGATAAATTTTTCCCCCAAAATTTGACAGATGTAATTACAGTACAATCGTAGTGTAATTACACTGTAACTTGCATGTAATTACACTGTAACTATAGTGTAACTTGTATGTAACTTTCAAAAATCTCTCCGTTACATGTTATTTCGGTAAAATGGAGGTCGTGGGAACAAATTCTTTCACATATGTGTGTGCTATGATTTGTTTTCTTCCTCACCAAAACAAATCTTGTAATAGATCCAACGATTCAAAATTATGTGAAACTTACATATAAGTTACACTGTAGTTACATGCAAGTTGCAGTGTAATTACATATAAGTTACAGTGTAATTACACTACGATTGTACTATAATTACATCTGTCAAATTTTTAGGGAAAAATTTATCGACAAATGTATAGGTAGTCCCTATAACAATAATAAGATTATAATAGATTTCACCCGTTGCAATGCATGGGTATTTTTTCTAGTGACTAGAAAAATAGGAAATGATGAAAAAACACTTAGGCTAATTTAAAATTTGGCTGCTAATTGAATGATTATTTGGATCCATGACAATACTTTCAGCATCTATCAATCTAAATTGTTGCAAATTCCTATCAGGCCCAAGCCACACCTGCTCGTTTGCATCTCGGCCCAAATTAATCTCACCGTACGTGGGCTAAGCATGCATCATCAAAGAGGCCCGCAACCATCTGCAGAGAAATTAATAGCAGTGAAAATATCTTATTGTTGAAGTTTTCTCTTCTGAACTCGGGTCGCTACCTTCATGTCGTCCACATCTAACTGTTTTTTTCCTTCTCTTTATTGGCTACACCTGATGTTCTTTTCTTTGACCATGTCCTTTTCACTACAAGACTGCAAAAAGAAAAAAAATCTTTTATTCCTTTCTTGCATAATTGCACTTCCTTTTGCTTCTGGAATGGAGATAATTGAGGCCAATTTTGACAAGGCTCTCATCCTGAAGAACATAGTATGATACTCCTATATAGTAGTACTAGTATAAAATGTTGCTTCTCATGCAGACAAACCTTTTCAGAAGTAACCAATGACTAGTAGTTTACAATAGAAGAATCTTACAGGTTCTTAGACCAGATAATTAGTTTTGCAGAGCTCTGATCTTCTGTTTTTAATCTAATATGATCTTCTGTTCTGTGATCTCTGTACTTGGATAGAACAAGTGCAGACAAGCAGTAGATGAAAAATAACCACCCAGTGGCAGTAGTATTGCCCTGCCAATTAAACCCCCAATGATTAGCTAGCAAGTGTTGAGTAAATAAAAGTTTAATTAATAATTAATTAAGTACTAAAGGCAGTAAAGTGTCCTTAGTGGCAAGACATGCTTGCATGTGATTTTACTGTGTATATAGAGAGCTGCATATATATACTCGCATGACGCGTTAAGATCAAGTTGGCGTACGTGTTGGCATCCTGGCCACTTAATTAGTTATTCATATTGTCAAAGTTCATATTAGCCCGAGCTTTGGCTAATCACCAACTGCCTGATTAATTTAGACCACAAGCTAGCAAAACGCAAGCCTATTGGATAAGAACGAAACAGCTTGGACACGTGGAATTGGTCGGCGACATACTCTCCCGAATATATATAATATTTATTTATAATTTACATTACTAATTACAACCACCCTATATTTACTGAGTCTGTCGCCAGCGGTGATGGGAGCAAAATTCAATCGATAAAAAGATCAATAATTGATTTCAAAAAATCTGCTTTGTTAGTTTGAGGAAGACATGTAATTAATACATGCAATACTCTTATAAGTTCTAAAATAAACAATATTTTTATAACCTATTAGGAGAAACAACGGTTATACATACTCCGATCAATCATAGACGAACATATCTCTTCTTACATTGGTGTCAAGGTAGTTTTCACTTTTCTTTTCAAGCTATAATTTTATAACTCAAACAGTCATTTGTCCTGGAACCTTTCTAACAACTGGTTGTAATTTTTTAAGTAAAGTCCACAATAAGTTCCATTATTAAAAAAGTAACCAGCCTATATTTGCTGAGTCAGCATCTTGCAGCTGTTATTGTCAAAGAAAAACCTGTAGCTTCATGCTAGTAGGCCAATTGTAAGACAGTGACATCTCAATTATATGATGTAGATCTCAAGAGCATCGCATTTCTTCCATGCATTTCTCTCGTGGTGATGCATACATCAAGATAAGTACTATATTATATATTCATAAAATCCAGCAAGATACAGTATTAAATTATTAGCCGTGTTCCGAAATCTAAATAAAAGAGAAATTGTCTTGTCTTGCCGTATTTGGGAACAGGTAGATTGGAACTTTATATAAAAAACCTAGATGATGCCAACAAGGGATTGCTAATTAGCCCATTTGGACACGTAAAGAGAAAATGAAATCAAACTTAATTTTGGGGGACAGCGACCTCTGGCTCTAGAAATAATAGCCTTTTGCTTTTCAATCTCTACATCATATGTCCTGTTCATCACAACAACACCAACAAAAATTAATAATCATAGCCAAACCAACATTTGCCGAGTCAACAAAATTTGCAAACTAATGGCGAGGCAACATTATTGCGTGTTGGTAATTAAGTCTAGCTTATAAGTAGCCCCAAAGGTTGCACATGGATTATGAATTTCTTAAGCTCAACTACTATTCTTAGCACACGTTTTGGTCCTGCGTTAAGCCCGCCAAATTCCTGGTAGATTCTTCTCAGACACAATGTCACTGAGATGTGGGGTCTCCAAGCTCAACTTTGAGTTGGACCCACCTGTCAGTCAGAGTTAGCCGGTTGTTTCGGTGCACTGTTCCAGTGAGGAAAGCAAAATCGATTGGCATAATTAAGTCCTTTGATAACAAAGAACTTAATTGGGTCAGACTGTCTAGCCAAAACAGTATTTAATTTCACCTACTACTACTACTATTCTTCTTATTAAAAATGTGTCAAAATACTGTCTATGTCCCATAATAATTATATTTATAGAATTTTAGAATACTGATGATTTCATTGATCATTTTTTATTCGAATTTCTTCTTATTTTACACACAAATACACATCCTCTCAAACCTTAATATATATTACTAAACAATCTAGAATTATAATTATTTTAGGACAGATGTAGTAAGTATCAAAACAACTAATTGGGCACAAATTATTAATTTCACTACTAATAAGTACTATATTACATTTTTTAAAATAAAAATGCTGCCTTGAAATGAAATAAAGAGGAGAGAGAGGAGGCTTCTACTCCTTCCTCTCCTCTTCCTCCCAAGAATCCCCATAGCTCAAGCAAAGGGAGAGAGCAGCAGCAGCAAGAGGAGCACGCGGGGAGCTAGCTAGCTCCGCCGCCGCCGACGAGCTCCGGCGGCTCGCCGTTATCCGCTCGCTGATCGAGCCGTGTGCGGGTGAGAAAGAAAAAGAAAAAAAAAAGATCGCGCCTTTTTGGCGGCTTCTTGGGGTGTGAATCCACGGTTTCCCCGGGGTAGGATCTTGATGGGGCTCGAGGAAGGCGGCGCGATGAGGGCGCTGATGCGGCGGAAGCAGGTGGACTCCGACCGGGTCCGCGCCGCCGGCGGCCACCAGCTCGCCAAGGAGCTCTCCGTTACGCAGCTCGTCGCGATTGGTCCGAACCTTTTCTCCTGCTTCCTTTGCTTTCTCTCTCTCTTCCTTTCCTGTGTGCTGATTGGTTAAATTTGAGGGATTATTGCTTGGGAAAGGTGTGATCTCTATGCTTGAATTATTGTGGTGTTTGTTTTTTGTTTTTTTTGGTGCAGGATTCTCGGTAGAGTCTGTTTGGATTTTCGTTAATTGGTTGTCATGTTTGCTGAGTATTACAAGTTATATAAAGTTGTATTGTTTTGATTTGGTTTGTAAAGTTTGTGAGTCTTTGATTGGCCGGGTGTCACATATATTAGTCCTTATTAAACGGCTCAACTTGTGGATTATGAACTTTTTAGATAGAGTTTTCTGGTAGTCTGCGTTTCAGACAGACAGTTTTGATTCAAACACGGAATTCAGATGCCCGGCATGATCTGTTACGATCCGAAAATGTACCTGTCCAGGTTCATAGCTAGAAATAGCTTCCATTTTGGGACAGAGGTAGTACTTGGTAAATCTCCTTAATTATGGGAATGATGGTTTTATCTCGATATGGATTCTTGCAATGTTTTGGAGAATTATTGCTTTGCTTCTACCTTAATCTTGTTGGGTAAGTGCTGGGTAGGTGGGCCGTGGGTAGATGCCTAAATATTACTTTACTACCTTATTGAAGCAAATAACATGCTTGATGTCTGCTAAATTTGAAGTAAAGTAGTTGAAAACGAATTACCACAAGTCTAATTATGTCTTTCCACATTTTATACAGCTTCTATGAATTTATTGTTCATGAAACCTTTCATGATCTATCAGGTGTTGGTTCAACAATTGGAGCTGGAGTATATGTTCTTGTGGGAACAGTTGCTCGGGAGCATGCTGGGCCGGCATTGACACTTTCATTTCTGATAGCTGGAGTGGCAGCTGCACTCTCAGCTTTCTGTTATGCAGAGCTTGCTAGTCGCTGCCCTTCTGCAGGAAGTGCCTACCATTATTCGTACATCTGCGTTGGCGAAGGGTAATTTACCTACACAATAGAGTAAACATTGTTCATGAATAGCCCTCTCTTGCTCCATTGATTGGGCGTTCTTAACATTGTCCAATGTTATATTTTTTTTAGAGTTGCATGGCTGATTGGTTGGGCATTGATACTGGAATACACCATCGGCGGATCAGCTGTTGCCCGTGGCATTTCTCCCAATCTGGTAAGTAGGATTTCCCTTGTACCACTCTTGTTCCTGCAGCATGTTGATTAATGGTTGAATATTTGCGTCCCACCTAACAGTATATATTTGTCTTTTCAGGCTTTATTTTTTGGAGGACAGGATAGTCTACCATGGTTTTTAGCACGCCATGAGCTTCCATGGTTTGATGTTGTTGTCGATCCTTGTGCGGCTTTCCTGGTTCTCGTTGTCACCGCCTTGCTATGCAAGGGGATAAAAGAGGTCTCACTTGCTTCTCTAATTCAGAAGTATATTTCTCTCTTTTTCAAGAAGTACCACATGTGATATTTACTCTCTTTAATTTTTGTCGCAGAGCTCATTTGTACAAGGAGTTGTGACAGTCCTAAATTGCTTCGTGATGCTATTTGTTATTATAGCCGGCAGTTACATTGGCTTCCAAACAGGATGGGTCGGCTATAAGGTGGCTGGCGGGTAATGCGAAACGTTCTTGGTGCTTTGGATTTTCTCTAGCTGGTGAGTGGTGCACTTAACCTTTTTTTTTTTTTGCCTCAGGTTTTTCCCTTATGGGGCGAACGGAATGCTTGCTGGGTCAGCAACTGTTTTCTTTGCCTACATAGGCTTTGATTCAGTTGCTAGCACTGCCGAGGAGGTATGGACTGATCATATTTCCCCAATTAATATCCATCTGTTTGCTAGATCAGTGCCAGTATTGATAAATGGGAATTCTTTCATCCTAACAACAGGTGAAAAATCCCCAACGAGATCTGCCACTGGGAATAGGAACAGCATTGTCAGTTTGCTGTTCCTTATACATGTTGGTTTCAGTTGTTATCGTTGGTCTGGTACCATATTTCGCTATGGACCCAGATACCCCTATATCATCAGCCTTTGCAAGACATGGGATGCACTGGGCCATGTATGGACTTTTTTTGTCTCTTTTTTTTCTACTATAATTGATCTACTGTGCTTCCAACTGAGGCAGTTAAGGGGCTATCTTGTTTAGGTACCTTGTTACAACTGGTGCTGTTCTTGCTCTTTGCTCAACCTTGATGGGATCGATTCTGCCACAGGTATACAACAATCTCCATTAATATGTGATGGAACTTATATGATTGCAAATTTGCAATTCATAAATGATCATAGTCAATACCCCCTATAAATGCAACCATTTCCCCATATGTAACTGATATAGGCTGATGTTTTCTGTTTAGTAAATTTCATCACAGTAGAATTTTTTTTATATGAGCAAGTATTAATTTTGTGATGTAGTATAACTGTGTGCTCATCAGTTAAGTTGAACCAATGTTCAACAGCCCCACAGATTTCGTTGTTTCTTAGTGCTACATGACTGTTAGTCGTTAAATCTGGAATCTTGATAACATTGTCTGCTCTCATAAGTATCTTTCTACAGATAACATGTCATGATTAGAGGATCGGAAATTGATATGTGTATTCTCTCATCCAACATGTACATAGTATAACCATAATCTTAGGCTGAGACAGATATTTGAATTTAGAGAATTTATGGTTTGCTACTTATCTCACAGCCAAGAATATTGATGGCCATGGCACGCGATGGGCTTTTGCCATCCTTCTTCTCTGATGTCAACCAGCGGACACAAGTTCCTGTCAAGAGCACAATTGTTACTGGCATATGTGCAGCTTGTCTGGCCTTCTTCATGGATGTGTCACAACTGGCAGGAATGGTGAGGATCTAGAAACTACTGCAAAGTAGTTTTCGTTTGAGAATTTTGATGTACTTTGGTACATGTGATTGATGACCAGACCTCCCTTCAGAGAATATTTTAGCATACTCTGCAATTTTATGTATCTAAACAATACCAGAAATTTTAGCCTGAGCAAAAAGAGTTAATTTTGGTTGCAGGTCAGTGTGGGCACACTCCTTGCATTCACTATAGTTGCTGTGTCCATCTTGATCCTCAGATATGCTCCTCCAGATGAGGTACCCCTGCCATCTTCTCTGGAAGCGTCATTCCGTTTGAGCCAAGAATATGATGAGGAAAAGGTTAGGGGTCCTCCTGTAGATGCGAATCATGAACAGTTGTCATCTGTGGTAGAATCAATAAATGACACCCTTATCGAGAAGAAGCAAGACACAAGTATGTACATTTCTTAGTCTATTTGACATTCCTAAGTAGATGTACATTTCTTGAGTTTAGTAATCAGGTTTTCTGTAAATCCTTCAGGTGTGGAGGAGTCAAAGCGTCGGAAAGCAGCTGTTTGCAGCATATCATCTGTATGTGTAGGGGTTGTGGTCCTCACAACTTCAGCTTCTTTCACATTCTTGCCATTGTAAGTACAAATTGTACACATTTCATCCCCCTACCATGTGCAACCAAGATACTCATCACTCTGATATATGCATCACTTCCATGCCATGTCAGCCTTTTGCGATGCTTCTTCTGTGTTTTTGGTGGCCTACTCCTCCTAGCCGGTCTCGGTGTCCTCTGCTATATCGACCAAGATGACGGGAGGCACTCATTTGGTCACTCTGGAGGTACTTACATAACAACACATCTCTGCACCTTGTCTACACTAGATTCTATTGACGAAATTACCTAATATCACGACATCTTGGTGCTGCTCCTGCTGCAGGATTCATCTGCCCCTTCGTTCCGTTGTTGCCGGTGATGTGCATCCTCGTGAACACATACTTGTTAGTAAACTTGGGGTAAGTCATGGTCCATTGCTCACATGTACTTATCTTCAGAACTGTCATATGCTTCAAGCTTGTACTCAATTCTGAATCTTGTTACCTTGCCTCCAGTGGAGGGACATGGATGAGAGTTGGGGTATGGCTGGTAATGGGAGTATTCGTGTACATTTTCTATGGCCGGACCCACAGCTCATTGACCGACGTGGTGTATGTTCCGGTGGCGCAAGCGGAAGAGATATACGGTTCATCATCTTCATCAGGATTTGTGGCCTAGGTAAGGAGCAGAGTACCAAAGCCTTGAGTGATGAAATGCTCCAAAATCAATTTTACCACACTTTGAACAAACCTGGCTGAAAGGGACTCCTGCTGCTGCGTTCTGTATTGCATGCCAGGCATATGGGTTTGAAGAATTCAATTCATATATTGATTTTTAAATTGTATAAATTATAGTGTAAGGTCATATTTCGTATAAGCACCTAGTTGAATGAATGTGAATATTAAATAGATATATAATGAAGATAAGGTCTGTAATATGTGTAAATTCACTAGAGTATATCCCAGCTTCTGCTGGGAAAATTCATATTTCCATGTACCTTTTGCACTCGAGGTCTTCTTGAGTGGGAAATGCTGAAGACCTTGGTCAGATCCTGCAACATGAATAAAGTCAACACATTCCCATTCTTTTGCTTGGCATGCATGATATATTGATATGATATTGAAGATGTGCATACATCAAGATTGAGAACTTGGCACACAACAAAAAAAACACAAACAATGACACAAAAAATGGACAAACCAAAATAATATACATCATGAGTTCTCACAATAACACAATAACACAAACCAGGGTCCCAAAAACGTTCTCACAGGAGCAGGGCGAAGCTAAAAAAACACTTCCCAGCTCTGAATTGAAGTATCCTTCCAGCAATCCGAGTTTTCAACATATTACATTGTAGGGCATGTTCTTTTCTTAAAAAATGGAAAACAAACTTCACACAGTCATTCCAGGTCCCAGCGGTCGGGACCCCCTTGCCTAGCTAGGAGTCGCTCTTGCGTATATTGTAGAAGATCGAGCCATCAATATTCTCCATAGCCAACTGATTCATCCGCAGAAGGATCAACAAGTAGGATCTTCCTTTGCGCCCTAGAAAGAACAACAGAGTAAAACATTTAGTTGTGTCATTGAAGACAAGATCATAACAGGTAATTATACGGGATATCAAGTTTCATAGTTATAGACTTCTGAAGCAGTGAAACAATAATGTATGACCATGCATCAATCGAACAAAAAATAGTAACCCAATGAGAAGCTCTTTATGGGAGCTCGACATTCTTGACATTTAAACCTTAAGGGAACTCACATACCCAATCCAATCTCTCCAACATCATCTTGATTCAATGCAACATTGCCCTGAGTTTTGTCACTGCTGAAGTATGAGTTTAATTTCGATATTGCCTCCTGCAATTCCTGATGCAATAAGGTAGCAGAAAGGTAAGCAATATGGTAAATTTCTCTGAGGTAGTCTCACTAAGACAAAACAGGAAACTCTTGACATTGCAGAATATTCTCCTTTTAGTATTTTCATTTTAAGTAATCTGTACCATGATCTTTTACCATCACCAATAGCTAATATGCAAAAAATAATATGAGAATTCCCACTTAATTGAGGAAAAACAGACCTCCCATGTTGCAAGAGTCTTCATGTACGGAGGTAATTTCTCATACTCCTCCTTGGATGCCTTTATGGCTCCTTGTGCATCATTACCTTAACAAATTCAACAGTGAAAAAAATCAGAATGATCAAAAACCATCTCTTTAGTCAGGAAGACATCGCTGCTGCCCACCTTGACCATTTGTTTCTTTCGGGGGAATCATGGATTCGGCATCATTTACTTTGTTTTCAACATCAGCAACACTGAGAAGCATCACAAGTCATTTTTAGAAACAAAGAAGTAATGAACCTGATAGGTACAAAAGAACACTGAGGAAAAGCAATTGTAGGCTAGTAGCAATACAAAAATAATCTACAATTCCTTTAGATACCTTTCAGGTTTCCTGTAAAGTATCTCTGTGCTTCCAGATAAACCACTGTCTGCAAAATTTAAGCAAATTATCGATGCCAACAAAGAGGTGTACCATGCAAACAGTTGTAACGACGATATTGTTCTAGTGTGACATACCTTGAGAGGACAAGGTAGCTAGACAAGCATCTGAGAAGCCAAGATTCTTTAGTGACATGGAGTTCTCAAATCTTACTGGCGGTCAAGAAAGAACTCAACGCTTCTCATTTTCGTCATATAAAACCACCGAACAAATATATGCAAGCACAAATTTTTAATGCTGAACGGTTGTGGTGAAGAACAGCAGATTGCGGACAAAGACAGCTTACACTATATAAACTACTAGAATTATAGTTATTGCACCCTTTTGCCAAGAATAAATAAAAGCCCCTCAGACATCAGAATTGTTGGTAATACGGTACTATATTTTTCATATAATCGCGAACAGTGAGCCCCTGGCTCCCTGACCAATCTAATTTATGATGTACTGCGTGTCTCAAATAATGTATGGAAAAATGAAAAAAAGAAGGAAGATTTAATAGAACAGGAGGAACAAATCAACAAATACTCATAGAGTCATAGGCTCATAGCTAATAATGGTGTTGTACACCTGCTACATGAATAAACAGGGGCTAAATGACCAAACCTCCAAATTCAGAATTAGAATTGCAGGTGCACGAACCTACTAAAACTAGCCACAGAATATAAGCTGAATGAACAAGTCCCTATACATTTCGACGTCCTGTATCTAACCATTCCATCAGATCAAGCATACGCAGAAGCGAAAGCAACCAAATCAGAGACTATCCTGAACAGAAAAAGGAAGAAAAACAATCAAACCAAACATAAGGATACAATGCATCGTCATCATCCACCATCTCTCTACTGGACCTCAGCACTGAACTCGTTCCACCAAAGCACCCATTCCCAGCGACCCCGGGAAGCTTCTCGACATCCCAATCTTCCTCCACATCCTCGCTCGCCTCCTCGTCTACAAGAAGCACAGCAAACTTGCAATTCTCAACCAAGAGCTTAAAAAAATTGACACGATCGGGTTCAGAATCTCCCATGGGGGGAGTGAGTTGGTGCTACCGGGTGGCACGTAGCCGAAGGCGACGAGGCGGGACTCGATGGCGTCGGCGTGGCGGGAGAACATGGCGAGCGCCTCGCCGCAGTGGCCGAGGAGCTCCTCGAAGGAGACGGTGCCGAACGCCATCGACTCGAGCCGCGACAGGTCGGCGCCCGCCGCCTCCGACCGCCGTTCCAGCCCCTGCAGGAACCCCCTCGCCGCCGACTCTGCATCACAGGCAGGCGCAGTATCCGATACCCCCACCGCGTGAGCATAGGATCCCCAAACCCTAACGGCGTCGAGAGAAACGCCGGGACGAGAGGTGGTGGTGGTACCAACCGAGATGGATGGGGCGGCGGGAGAGCGCGTCGGAGAGCGCGCGGGAGGAGTCGTCGGCGTGGTTGAGCACGGACGAGAGGGCGGTGCACAGCGACGAGATCTTCGCCTCCATCTCGCGGCGGCGGCGGCGGCGGTGGAGGGCTCGCCGGAGACGGTGGAGAGGGTTTCGGAATGAATCGGTGGGGGATCTTTTTCTTTTTTCAATTTTTTTCGGCTTCGTTCGAATTTCGAGGCGGGCAGTTTCGTGGTTTCCGGCAGGTGGGCCCCGGTCAAAAGTGGGCCGCCTACAGAGAACGCTATAGGCCTCCAGTATTCTTTTGGGCCGAACGTTCTAGCCCAATAAGAAACATTGTGAAAATGAATAAGTCATTTTACATCCCTCATGTCCCCCTCTCGTTTTCCGCGTGCACACTTTTCAAACTGCTAAACGGTGCGTTGCGTTTTTTACAAAAAGTTTCTATACGAAAGTTGTTTAAAAAAAATCATATTGATCACTTTTGAAAAAAAAATTAACTAATACTTAATCAATCACATCCTCCCCGGCGAACACAGCATGTTAATTTGGGGCATATGTGGTAGCCCAGACTGCCCAGTTATCAACAACCTTTTTTTTAAAAAAAAAATTTGCAAAAAGGGCAAAACAACCTTTTTCATTCCATGATTCCATCACTTTTTCACATGAAACAGACGAATTCGAAGAGAAATTCCAGATGAAATTTGCGAGGAACTGAAAATTTGAACCACAACATGCACAGTTCACCATCTGAACATTACAAATAGCCCAATCACGAATCACAGAAGCGGTCAATGCATTTCATCACAAACATCAGACAAAGTTTCATACTGCGAGAGTGTTTAGCTGTGAAATTAGGATTAGAGAGATCGCTGGAAATGAATGTCTCCCAGAAATCCAAAAAACGCAGACGCAAAGCTGCAAAATCGACCTAAGATCATCAAGCCTGAATTAACCTAACGAAAGAGATCGAACCAAGAAAGCTGTCTAAATTGTAGTTTTAACCCAAGAAAGTATCATCAGTAGTAAATCTAATCTTCTTCTTCTTCTTCTTCTTCTTCTTCTTCTTCTTCTTGCTATCTTCATCTTCTTGCTAAGATCAGTGACTGGTTGGTATAATGGTGAGCCAAAACTTGAGCTGCCGATCGATGAGAGAGAGATCGCCAGCGATGGGGGTGTCAGTAGGCGGGAGTGGCCAGTGCCAGCTCGGTGCCCACGTCGCCGGCGGCGTCCGCCGTCTTCACCGGCGGCGTCGTGGCGCAGGCCGTGGCGGCGGGCAGCGAGGGGAGCTTCCCGGCGTTGCTGGTGGTGGACGGTGGCGTGGGGAGGCCGCCGGCCATCATGTACTCGTAGAGCTCGTCCATGGTGGCGAAGTTGGCGGCGCCGGCGACGACGGGCGCCGTCGGGGTCAGCGGCGGCGACGGCGGCGCGGCGAGCTCCGGCGAGAACGGCAGGCTCGGCGTCGGCCACTGGAACGCGCCCTGCGGCTTGGAGATGCGCACGCTGCACTTCCTCGATGTTCTCTTCCCGCTGCCACCATTGCTGCTGGTGGTGGTGGTGGTGGTGGTGCCATCGCCGTCGACGTCCGGCTGGTCGTTGGCTGCACTGACGCCGGCGACATCGTCGTCCTTCGCCTCTTTCCCGGCATCGTGTTCTTGCTTTTCATCGTCGTCTTCCCATGGTTCCTTGACATACAGATCAGCTTCTTCTTTTTCCAGCCAGAGCAGTTCCTCCTATGTAAATGATGATATTTTCATGAGTTAATCATCACTGGTTTAATACCACTGCTAATAGGTAATCAAGAAAAATTGTCCAGGGTAAACCATGGAAACTACTGAACCATTCATGGCCTGGTGAATTTACAGAGATAAAATAGTAGTAATTATTGTACCTTTAGAGACAGGAAAGAAGTGGATAAAGCAGTCAGCTGGTGCTCCAGTCTGGTGTTGTTCTCGACCACACTCACAAACTTCTCCTGCAAAACAGACTCAGTATCTATCAAAGCTTCATTGTAAATGCAGATACATAAATACATTCAGTCCCAAAATGTAGGTTGTATTTCCTTGCAAAAAAATGTAGGTTGTATTTTAGTTCTGAATGTCTCAAATAAATGCTTCATATTACAACACATGACTGTGACTATGACTTTGTATGAATGCTTTGCAAAACAGACACATAATCTTGTATGAAAGCTTCATTGTAAATGCAGATACAAAATGCTTTCTATGTCCCAAAATATAGGTTGTATTTTGCTTTTGAAGGTCCCAAATCAATGCTTCATATTACATTACAGGACTTTGACAATAATTTTGTATCAGGACATGAATCAAAACAATGAAACTATATAATTCATGAAAGTGTTTTGCAAGACAAATCCCATTAATACTGTTTGCATATATTCAAGCCATATGCTTTACATGCATAAGTGATCACATTATCAATATATCATCGATTATGTTGATGATTTGAGATGTAAGTAAACATGGTTAGTACAGGTTGAGAAGATTGTTTCAAATACCTTGAGAAACAACAACTCCTCCTTCAGCTCGCCATTTGCGTGTGTTGCATTCTCATACTTCTCCTGAAAATAAACCACAACATTGTTTCAACATGATCAAGTTAATGTAGAGATTGAATATGATTAGAAAAAACTTGGACCAAATCAGATTCAACTTGATAAGCATGACAGCTGTAGTTTAGTATGTTGAAATAGAGCAAAGAGCTACTGAAACTGAAAGCTGATAAATAGTTGTGATTAGTTTCGGTGTACCTCCAAGGACAGAAGCTGCTTTTCCAGATTGCCATTGGCTTTCTCCATACAGGCATACTTCTCCTGCAAATAAGATCATCACATTCATTTATTACCACCCTACTAAAATACTCGTGTAACAAAAGAAGATGCAGTTAGTAAAAAAAAACAAAAGAAGATGCAAACTAGTCATGGAAAGACAAATGCATGAAGAGCAATACTATCACTGTGCTAGTGTTCTTCCAGAGTGCAAATTTAAACTGAAGATAAACAGTGAAAGTAATTTCCTTTTCTCCAGTGTATCAGAAGATTATAACTTGAAATAGAACTAGATTCTCTACCTAAACTGAAAGATGTAACAATGTGACAAGTAAACTCTAAAAGATTGCTGAACTGCAAGTGTGCATTGACATAGGTGACAGACCCACAAATGGGCCATTGCATAGCAAAACCTTGTTATGCAGTTTCCCATCACAACACAAAGATCAAAATTTGGCTTCAGAGTAACTCAAAACACACAAACCAGGGCTAGACATGTGCACACAAATGACTAGTTTAATGAGCGTACTGCATATAAAACCATTTAGTGTGAATCGAGAAAACAAAATGCACATCAAAGTGTGTAGTATGATCACCTGGCATGTATTGTAGGATTTCTCAGCCTCAGATTTGATTTCCTTGCCCACTTGACTCACATTGGAAGAGAGGTGATCCATGTGCCTTTCATGCGAAATTCATAGCAACACGAGTCAATTTTACCACAAAAATTAAACAAAGTAGCATATGAATGAATCAGCAATGCAAGAATCAGAAGCAGCAATAGAAGAGAAGGGAAAAAGAGATCAAAAGAGGAGACCTTCTGACGCCGGCGAGCTCCACGGCGAGCTTCTCCACCTGCTTCCTCACCTCCAGCAAGTAGCCCTCCGGCGAGACGGGGTCCCCTGGCTTCCATCCGGGAGGAGGCACCCAGTACGGGTCGGCCACGCCGGCGTTCCGCCGCACGGCGGCGAGCTCGGCGGGCTCGAGCCAGTACTCCAGCCCGCCGCCGGCGTTGTGCCGCCGCCGGAACCGCTCGGCGCCGCCGGGCGCCACCTTGTCGGCGATGTGCCTGAGGAGGTGGTCGAGGAGGCCCGTGTCGCCAATGTGGGCGCGCGCCTCCTCCCGCAGCGCCCCGCGCGGGACGGGCTTCCCGGCGCGCGCGCCGCGGGCGCGCATGATGGCGAGCAGCGACGCCTCCGCGGTGGCGTACCGGGTCGCCTTCCACCGGTCGATCATGCCGCTCGGCGCCGCCACCGCGGCGCCCTCCTCCTCCTCGAGCTGCTCGGCCTTGGGAGCCGAGAGCTTCGTCTCCTCCTCCTCCTCCTCCTTCTTGGGACGCTTGGCGACGCCATGGCCACCGACACGGCCACGGCCACGCTTCCTCCTCCTCCTCCTCTTCTTCTCCTCCGACGTGGTGGGCACCGCCACCTTGTGTTCGACGTTGTCGTCGTCTTCTTCTGCCGCCGCTGCCTCCTCCTTCGGGCTCTCGTTCTTGGCCTTGGCGGAGCTCGCCTCGTCGTCGTCCCGCGCGGCGTCCACGGCGCGCTCGGGAGCGTGGTGGCGCGCGAGGTGGTGGTGCCTCCCGACGTACCGGACCCGCTTCCTGACACCCCACCCGACGCCGCTGCACTGCAGCGTGAGGAGGCACGGCGCCACCGACTCCGCCGCGGGGGACGGCGGCGACGCCGGGACGGGCGCGGGCGACGGCGGCGCGGGCGCGGGCGCGGGCAAGAACGGCTTCTGCTCCTGCTGGGAGAAGTCGTAGAGGCGGGGGGCGCCACCGGCCCAGAAGTCGCCGTCGCCATCGCCGCCGTCGCCCAGGTCCTCGCCTGCGGCGCGGCGGCGCATGACGCGCGAGGCGTTGACGGCGGCGGCGGTCATGGCTCACAGGCGACGGCGGCGAGAGAGAGAAACAGAGAGAGCTGAGAGGAGGAGGAGAGGTGGGTTGGTGATGGCAGCTTTGCTGCTGCAGTGCAGGAGACAGCAATGCAAAGGGAAGAAGAAGAAGAAGAGGAGCAGAGATGAGACAAAAGAGAGCTGCAAAAAAGAAGGATTTTGATTTTGAAGAATCAGGAAAAGAAGAATCTTTTGTGTGTGTGAGAGAGTTGTTGTTTTGTAGGAGGAGTACTCCACTATCTTCTTTGACTGCAAGGAATTAATAGCTTGGTTAATACTATGATCTCAAGCTAATCCTTGAACTGTTAAACAAAGACCATTTGCATGCAGATGCTTTCTACTACTCCAGTGGTTGATCACCATCAGGGATTGATGATATGTTTATCCAGAGGTTGATCACCATCAGGGGCTCTGTGACACAGGTAATGCCAATAAAGCAGTCTTCTGACCACATCATTTTACAAGTTTCCTTCAGCACCTGCAATAGTCCAAGAATATTAATGATGGTCTAATTGGAGTACGCCAACACCTGTGTGAGAATGGGATATGCAATGTTTACTTGACGAGGAAGATTTCATGAAAAGCAAATCTGTCTCCCAACCTCCCTCTGGTCTCCAGTCTGCACAAACGACAGACAAACAGGAGCAGCACCTTGACCTACTGCATCTTAAATTTTTATTATTTTCTAAATTTAAAAAATAAATCATCTCAATACTTTCTATGATGACCAAATGACTTGGGCCCTGTTTAGTTCCAAAGTTTTTTTTTCCAAAATTTTAAATTTCCATCACATCAAACCTTTCATACACAACTTTTCAAACACATCGTACCAATTTCAACCAAACTTCTAAACTTCAGCGTGAACTTAAACACCGATAGCCTGGCCCATGGCACAGGGTTTCGACCTAACTGGTGTCCAGCCCGTGCCAGCCCCGCCTGACCATTGGGCCGTGCCTATGTCCCTGCCTCAGTACGGTAGGCTAGCCGACACGTCACGACGACACAATCTAGTGATAAAAGAAATTTAGGGAGGCAAAATAGATGAACCATCTGAAAATAAACCATCTCAATACTTGTTCTTAAATCTGAAACGTTTTAGCCATGCCACCCCACATTACATTGTCATGCTAGTAGTAGCTAGTACGATAATTTTATCTTACCACGTCAATACGGTTAGCGTGGCAAAATAGTTTATTCTGACACATTGTTGGTTTTTTCTAAAGAAAATAATTTACCAAAAAAAAATCTTTCAAATATCCGTGGAGGCGGGTTCTACACGACTAGTTGGCGACGTCTAGCGATGTGGTACATTAGTTCATTTATTTTTGCGGAACTATATGGAGGTGTAAGGGGTTTGCTAGCTCCAAGTGACTATAAGTTGTTGTATTGAAATGCACCCACATACTACTCACAGAGTAATTACTCTTTTGCTACTTACTTTGTGACACTTCCAACAAATATCTTACATGTTTCTTTAAAACTATTTAACTAGATACTCCATCCATCCCGTTAGGACTAAATGTGCCACATTCTAGTACAATAAATCTGGACATAGATATATCTAGATTCGTAGTACTAGGATGTGTTACATCCAATACTATATTAGTTTTATGGGGCGGAGAGAGTATGTCTGTCGGAGATATGGGCCTAGGGGTATGCGGAGTGAGGGGAATTTACCTTCCCATCCTGCCGCGTGGCCCTACAGCCTGGCCCTACCCCCGCACCTCGCGAATCGCAGAAGCGGCCAGGGGGCCTCGAGGTGCCACGTCATGCCCCTCGGGCCCTCGCGCCGCTTTGCCCCGACGCCCCTGCCCAACTGCCACGTGGCGGGGGGAGCGAGCGGGAGGGGACCCAGGCTGTATCGCTATCAATGCGCGCAGCGCCCCAACTGCCCCTCGCCGCATTAAATGCGGTAGGGGCAGACGTGCGGTGCCGCCCAACTGACGCACGTCAGTCAGGAATGACCGGTCTGTGACCGGCCTGTCGCCGGTCACGTCTGACTGGACGGGCGGCTGTGCCCCCACGTCGCCTCTGTCCCCGGCGGAGTGGAGGTAGGTATGACCCGTCCTATCGGAGCATGATTCGGAGCTCCCTCCACAAGAAAGATGGTCACCACAAGTCTTCACCTATTTATGAGGGAATGACAGGGCTGTCCCCCGTGTCAGGCGGGGGACGGCGCTGGGTCCCGCTCAAGGACGAGCTGCGGCTTAGCTTCCGGGCGAAGGCACGGATCGAGATCCGGTCAAGGTAGGGTGGGTCCCCACCCTACAGAATAGTAGGTAGAGACGGTGCATGTGGTATCCCCTTGAGCTATAAAAGGAGGACCTTACCCACCGAGAAAGGGGACGACTCTCAGCAGACCTGAGCTCTAGGAGAAGAGAAGCAGGAACGCTCTCCGGAGTTTAGGAACCCTTGTAACTCTCAACCTTAATCCCACACACAGGAGTAGGGTATTACGCTCCATAGCGGCCCGAACCTGTATAATCCTCTCGCCCACACGCGATTAGCAACACTCAGGGCGGATACGCGATCTCTAGAGGCGAGCCCTTTCCCCCGGCCGAACTCACAAAAGGGGGGATCTCACGATCTCCCGCTAGAGAGGATCACTCCTCGACAATGTCCATCGTAAGACTTGTAAGCTTGGCTGAGTTCTAACCTTCCACTCCAAACCACAACTTTCTTATTTTCCGTTAGCACACTTTTCAAACTGTTAAACATTATGTTTTGTGCAAAAACTTTCTAGGTAGAAGTTTCTTTTCAAAAATCAAAAACCTTGTTATGCAGTTTCCCATCACAACACAAAGATCAAAATTTGGCTTCAGAGTAACTCAAAACACACAAACCAGGGCTAGACATGTGCACACAAATGACTAGTTTAATGAGCGTACTGCATATAAAACCATTTAGTGTGAATCGAGAAAACAAAATGCACATCAGAGTGTGTAGTATGATCACCTGACATGTATTGTAGGACTTCTCAGCCTCAGATTTGATTTCCTTGCCCACTTGACTCACATTGGAAGTGAGGTGATCCATGTGCCTTTCATGCAAAATTTATAGCAACACAAGCCAATTTTACCACAAAAATTAAGCAAAGTAGCATATGAATCAGCAATGCAGAATTCACTACCAGCTAGAGCAATGCAAGAATCAGAAGCAGCAATAGAAGAGAAGGGAAAAAGAGATCAAAAGAGGAGACCTTCTGACGCCGGCGAGCTCAACGGCGAGCTGCTCCACCTGCTTCCTCACCTCCAGCAAGTAGCCCTCCGGCGACACGGGGTCCCCTGGCTTCCATCCGGGAGGAGGCACCCAGTACGGGTCGGCCACGCCGGCCTTCCGCCGCACGGCGGCGAGCTCGGCGGGCTCCAGCCAGTACTCCAGCCCGCCGCCGGCGTTGTGCCGCCGCCGGAACCGCTCGGCGCCGCCGGGCGCCACCTTGTCGGCGATGTGCCTGAGGAGGTGGTCGAGGAGGCCCGTGTCGCCGATGTGGGCGCGCGCCTCCTCCCGCAGCGCCGCGCGCGGGACGGGCTTCCCGGCGCGCGCGCCGTGGGCGCGCATGATGGCGAGCAGCGACGCCTCCGCGGTGGCGTACCGGGTCGCCTTCCACCGGTCGATCATGCCGCTCGGCGCCGCCACCGCGGCGCCCTCCTCCTCCTCCTCGAGCTGCTCGGCCTTGGGAGCCGAGAGCTTCGTCCCCTCCTCATCCTCCTTCTTGGGACGCTTGGCGACGCCATGGCCACGGACACGGCCACGGCCGCGCTTCCTCCTCCTCTTCTTCTTCTTCTCCTCCGACGTGGTGCGCACCGCCACCTTGTGTTCGACGTCGTCGTCTTCTTCTGCCGCCGCCGCCTCCTCCTTCGGGCTCTCGTTCTTGGCCTTGGCGGAGCTCGCCTCGTCGTCGTCCCGCGCGGCGTCCACGGCGCGTTCGGGAGCGTGGTGGCGCGCGAGGTGGTGGTGCCTCCCGACGTACCTGACCCGCTTCCTGACCCCCCACCCGACGCCGCTGCACTGCAGCGTGAGGAGGCACGGCGCCACCGACTCCGCCGCGGGGGACGGCGGCGACGCCGGGACGGGCGCGGGCGACGGCGGCGCCGGCAAGAACGGCTTCTGCTCCTGCTGGGAGAAGTCGTAGAGGCGCGGGGCGCCACCGGCCCAGAAGTCGCCGTCGCCCAGGTCCTCGCCGGCGGCGCGGCGGCGCATGACGCGCGAGGCGTTGACGGCGGCGGCGGTCATGGCTCACAGGCGACGGCGAGAGAGAGAGAGAGAGAGAGAGAGAGCTGAGAGGAGGAGGAGAGGTGGTTGGTGGTGGCAGCTTTGCTGCTGCTGCAGTGCAGGAGACAGCAATGCAAAGGGAAGAAGAAGAGGAAGAAGAAGACGAGAGATGAGACAAAACAGAGCTGGATTTTTTTATTTTGAATCAAGAAAAAGAAGAATCTTTGGTGAGAGAGTGAGTTGTTGTTTTGTAGTACTACTGGAGGAGTACTCCACTAGTATCTTCTTTGACTGCAAGGAATGGCTTGGTTAATTAGGATCAAGCTAATCCTTAACTGTTAAACAAAGACCATTTTGCATGCAGATGCTTTCTGTACTTTGGGCTCTGGCATTGATAATCTGTTTATCCAGAAGGTTGATCACCATCATTACTTCTGACCACAATCAACTTCATTAGTACCCCTCCGTCCCAAAATAAGTGCAGCCATGATTTTCCGCGTCCAACTTTGATCATTCGTCTTATTTGAAAAAAAAATAAAAACATAAGTCACAAGTAAAGTACTATTCATATTTTATCATCTTATAACAACAAAAATGCTAATTATAAAAAAATTTCAAATAAGACGGACGATTAAAGTTGGGTGCAGAAACTCATGGCTGCACTTATTTTGGGACGGAGGTAATACTACTTCCGTCTTATTTTAAGCGCAGTTGTAGATTTCTGTATCCAATGTTTGACCATCCGTCTTATTTAAAAAAATTATGAAAAAAATTAGTCATATTTTATTATCCGATAACAATAAAAATACTAGTAATAAAATATTTTTAAATAAAACGGACGGTTGATATAAATAGATTGATATAAATAGAGGACGGAGGTAGTACAAGTTTCTTCATCACCTGCAATTGTCCAAGAAAATTAATTATGGACTAATTACACCAACACCTGTGAGGGAAATGGGAATGGGATGCAATGTTTTCAAGTCCCAACCTCCCTCGTCTCTCCAGTCCGCAAAAAGGACAGACAAACAGGAGCAGCACCCTGACCTACCGTATCTTGATTATCGTTTTACGTTTTTAGTAAATTTTAAAAACAGATCATCTCAATACCTATTTCTAAATCTGAGCTTTTTTAGCCATGCCACCCCTATATGGCGTGGAGAAAAAAAGTTACTCCGTATCTCGCTACCAGTGGTTAGCTTGTGCTACAGTTATGTCTAACCGCTCCAGTGTAATTGGAGTGGCGACAACACTCCCACGGTAGTTAAAGTGGTGTGTGGTACGCTAGCCTTTGTGACATACCCAGAAGATTTAGATTTAAAAATAAATTTAGAAGGGTTTATTTTAAAATTAAAAATTATTTTTTTAAAAAATAATTTCTTCATCTTCCAAACACCATGAGCAGACAAGAGACCCAACCAAAACAAAACCCTTTGTGCCACAAGAGATGAACTGATTTCATAGACCATTCATTAATACTAACTAGAAAAATATGCCCATATGTTGCAACAGTGAAGGCTATTTGATCATACATACATATCCTGTATAGGGCTATCAACGAGCCGAGCTCGAGCGAGCTCGCCTGCCTAGGCTCGAGCTCGATACAAGCTCGAGCCGAGTCTATAAAATGTTCAAGCTTTCAAACAAGGCTCGGTCGGAGCTCGATCAAGCTCGAGCTCGACTACCGAGCTCGATTTTTAATTAAAACAATGTATACTTCAAAGGATAATTTTTAAAAAAATAATTAATTTATGGTTAATCATATTAGTAGAAGAGGAAAAAGTATAAAATAAATATATGATGCCAATACAAGACATGCAAATAACATATTTTGATCTACCAATTTATTAAATAGCAATAAAAAATCATATATTACTAGGCTCGTTAGAAGCTCGAGCTCGGCTCGACAAAGCTCGCGAGCTTTGGGAGACAGGCTCGGGCTCGGCTCGTTTGGAGCTCGAGCCGAGTTCGAATCGAGCCTGGGACGAGTCGAGCTCGAGCAGCTTGTGAGCTTCGAGCTTTTTTGACAGCCCTAATCCTGTACATGCATGAAGTTATTGTTTTACTGTTTAGGGTCAAATTCACTGTATTTAATTGGTTTTTTTTAGAAAATGATAAGCTGTAAAATTTGGAAACACAGTGGGATGCAATTTGTTTGCTAAATTGCTTTTGTGTGGAAATCATGATTTAAATCGGACACAACCCTGTTATTGTCTCGTTGAGATACATATGTTACTTCGGTTTTCGTCAGCACGTTTTTAAACTACTAAACGGTGTATTATGTGCAAAAACTTTCTATATATCAGATAAATCTATTTTTTAAGTTCGAAATAATCAAAAGTCAATTAATCATACATTAATGACTTTCTTGTTAAGCCATACTCCCTCTGTCAAAAAAAATGGAATCTAGTATTAAATGTGACATATTCTAGTACTACGAATCTGAATATACTAAAATATATCACATCTAGTACTATATTCGTTTTTATGTATGGGAAGTACTGATTTTAATGTATGACGTCGTTGACTATTTGACCAACGTTTGACCATTCATCTTATTCCAAATTTTTGTGTAAATATAAAAAATATTTATATCATGTTTAAAGAACATTTGATAATAAATCAAGTCACAATAAAATAAATGATAATTACATAACATTTTTAAATAAGACGAATTGCCAAATGTTGAAAAGAGGAATGGTCATATTTTGGAATGGAGGGAGTAAGGGCATCAATAATCAGAGATACTATATGAGTACCCTCACTACCTGAGGGTACTATTTGGAGAACTCCCCTTACAATGGAGGGGACACCTAGTGGGCTTTTCAAAATCTCAAGTAACCCATAGAGATACTCAGCCCACAATGGGTGTCCAAACCCACACATATGTATTCTTTTTCTACCCCTACCCACCGAGTCGGCTTCTCTCCCCTTCTCATTTTCTTCGTCGCGTTGTCTCTCTCCCACGAGCGTCGTTCTCTCCCGCGAGCGCCGCCGCCGCCACCTCCCTCCTCGCCCTCCCCAACCGCCGCCGCCGCTTTCTCCTATCTCTCTCTCTCTCTCTTTCTCTCGCCGCCGCTGCTTGCCTCACTCTCCTGCTGCCGCTCGCCTATTTCTCACCGCCGCCCGCCTCTTTCTCGCCACCGCCGCCGCCCGTCGCCGGCTAGAGGGGGCAGATCCGGCACCGGCGTGTGCGGATCTGGTCCCCCCGCGGCCAGATCGGGGAGGAGATGGTGGCGGCGCCGGCGGTGGCTGGCGCGGTGGCGGCGGGCACGGTGCCGGCGGAGAAGGCTAGGGAGGACGGTGGCGGCGCGACGCTGTTGTCCCACGGTCGGCCTCTTTTCTCTCTCTCTCTTGTCTCCGCTTCTCTCTTCCTCCGGCGGCCGTCGAGGGTAGAAAGGGAAAAACAGGAGGACGGAGTGGTGTCTTGGGCTACTCCCCTAGCCACGCCCCGCCCAGCACGCCTCCTTGCTCGCTCCCTCAGCCGAGGCGCTCGTAGAGCCGCGTCCCTCTACTGGGGACGGCAAAGCGACGGAGCGGCGACGGCCGTGAGCAGGGACACGCTCCGAGGTACGTATTGGTGATGGCCTAAGGCTGTGTTCATGTATAGAGGTTAGGAACACATGCCCTGTACACGGAAAACAGAGCAGTCCATTAGCGTGTGATTAATTAAGTATTAGCTATTTTTTTAAAAAAAAATGGATCAATATGATTTTTTTAAGCAACTTTCGTATAGAAACTTTTTTGCAAAAAACACACTGTTTAGCAGTTTGAAAAGGAGAAAATTGACATTGTGCCATCCTCAAAAGTGGGTTTCGCTCAAATGCCACGCTGGGAGTGGGCTTCGTTAAAATGCCACTTTCAATCGAAGACTACACGCTATAATGCCCGAACGGATAAAAATACCCCTGTTACTACCTTCTTCCACCTCTGACAAGGGATGCCTCGCCGGCTCGCCTCTGCCGCGCCCACCTCATCCGCCTCCACCTCCGCTCCCCTTCCTCCCCGCCTCGACCGTCCCCAACTGACGACCCCGTGGTCACGCTCCACGCCATCCGCGCCGCCGACGCCGACGTTGGCGGTCTCCATCTTTCGTGCCAACCCGTCGTCCCAGCCACTCCCGTTCTTCCAAGCGGCGGAGGCGCGCCCGCACGGCGGAGTCGTTGGTGGGCATGGCCATGGCGAAGGCACGGCGCGGTGGTCATCAGAGGTGGAGGCGACGACGGCGGCGGCCGGGACGGGTGCGGGGGCTCGCGGAGGGCGGGGCTGGGATGGGGGCGATGGGAGGGGACACGGGGAGGGGAGCCATGGGAGGGGTCCCCGCAGGGGCCTGTGGCCTGTGGTTCTCCATGGAGGAGAGCTCGCGCGAAGGCGGATGGTGGCCGCCGGCGAGAGCTGATGATGGAGGGAGGAAGAAGATGAGAGGAGGGTAATTTGGTCCAAGATAGTATTTTAGCATGTAATCATGTGTTGAAAGTGGCATTTTAACGAAGCCCACTCCCAGCATGGCATTTGGGCGAAACCCACTTTTGAGGATGGCACAATGTCAATTTTCTCTGAACCGATGATTAACACACCCTAAGAATACTTGTTTACTGGTCCCTTGCTGGCCGAACAAATCAAAACACCATCGATCTCCGTAACGCCCACGCGTCCGACCTTCTTGTCTTTTCAATGGTATAATAGGCTAATCTTTTTTCTAGAATTATTATTTTTCTTCACACGGATACTTTGAGATTTATTTAAGAAATTACTGTGCCACGTGATAGGATGAACTGGCGGTTGTTTACTGGTCACTTTAGATCACAAAAGTTGTTTGTCACCGTACATACGGATCCTAATTTAGTCTCATTGGTCCTATTACCCAGTTCTAATTTGCTCGCTTCATCGCAATGCACAATCCTGCCATAACCCCGAAGCCCACCGCAACAGCAGCAGCGCAAACCCAAGGATGCCCAAGCCCTGTACCCCTATCCTCTGCCTCCATACGCTTAAGACGAGATATCGTGTTACACTTCTTCTTAGGAACCGCCAAAAGAAATTCAGCATTGCTCAATGCCTCTCGTCTGCCTGGTGTAGATGCCACTTCCTACATAAAACAAAGAAAATAAATTGTTGAGTAAATTTCACAAAACTACAGGTATTTTGACCAAATTATCACAAAACTACAGATTTAAGGAGTTGTATCACAAAACTACACATTTAGCATCAAATTTATCACAAAACTACAGATTTTAGGTTAAGTATCACAAAAATGCATATTTAATATTGAACTTATCACAAAACTATAACTTTTAGAGTTTAAATCCCTAGCACTATTGTTATGGTGGAGCTATAAACATTATTACTTTGTGATTAAATTGGTTCTAAACCTGTAGTTTTATTATAATTTAGTTACTAAACATGTAGTTTCATGACACTTCATCTTAAATATGTAGTTTTGTGATAAATTTGGTGCTAAATGTATAGTTTTGTGATACAACTCCTTAAATCTGTAGTTTTGTGATAGTTTGGTCATAGTATCTGTAGTTTTGTGAAATTTACTCTAAATTGTTTATCAGTAGCCACTAGCCACCACTTAATTATTAGTACTATTTGCTTTTAGCAAATTTACTGACCTCCATGGAATGGAGACGGTGTGCAACTCCTCTTACAAACTCTCCCTCAGACATCTCAAGTCCACAAAAGAAACGATCAAATTTCTGGTGTAAATCTCCGGAAATGCAATTTGAAGTACGTTCCAGATAATTTAAGTAACCAAAACTGGTTATAAACTCTCTGTTAATCTAAAATGAGAAGGATAAAATAATAAGGCAACACAACAATAGTAAGCAATATAATAGCAAGGGATTAAACAAAAGGGTAAGGTAACACAACAGACAGTACAGTAGAAAATATTTTAAGGGATTAAACAATAAAAGGATAAGGTCAGCAGACAATAATAACAATTTTAGCAAAGGAGAAAACATACCAATTGTGGTGAGATACTAAATCCATATGCTTTTAACTGCTCATGCAGTTGCTTGCTCAGTGGAAAATGGCGTTCATTTGATAGGTTGCCCTTCTCTCGAGGCACAAATTCATCCAGGGCATAATTTAGTCCCCAAATCAACTCAGGAACAATACGCCCATTAAACCAACAGCTAATGTTCTGGAAAAAGAAATATATAACAGGGAAACATTAATAATTCCACACTAATACAACAAATTAAATAAATATCAACATTAAAATACATTAGGGTAGATGTAAACTTACAAGGTTTTTCTCAATAATAAATTTAAGCTGTGCATCTGGAACAACCAATGATTTAATTGGAAATTTTAGGATAAAGTGCTCTATATCCTCGCCAGGACCAATATCATTATCCCATACAACAGATTTGTCACCAACCTCAATAAAACCAATGGTACGAACGACCTACAAATAGAATGGTACGGAACACATTTAAAGGCTTATGATCTTAATAAAACCAAGGGTACAAATACAAATAGAATTGTATAAAACACATTTAAAGGCTTAGGATTTACATGTACAGTTAAGATGCAAAAAAATAATAAACTAAAATAATTAGTTGGCTTTGGATGTACTTTTACAGTAAAGATGAAAAAAAAGAACAGTAATGCGTATGATGTGCATAGACAATAAAGGTGCAAAAAACAATAAAGCGATAAATAGACATAAACAAACAAAAAGCATGAAAGGAAATTTAGGAGTTAAATATACCTGGTGTGCAGTATGTGGATCAGTAAAACTCGACCATATGTCCTACAAAAGGAAAGGAAAATCAGATAAGATGTAGGGCCTAAATGTAATAGAAGAAAATGAATTATGCATCACATTAGGGTGAATGAAAAGCTATATATACCTCCGGATATCTAAATAAAACATCCGAAACACGGAACATTGCAAATCCCGAAGGGGTTTCAAACAACATCGTCCTAAATGCATTTTTTCTGCAGGTATAAGACCAAAGTAATTTAATAATTTAGCCTGTTTTGCGATTATATATATTAGAATCAAGGCATATGTGACAAAAAGGAAAAAAAATCTGTAATTACATAGCTTAAAGAGGCTGTAGCCAACACAAAGTAGTTGCCAGCAACAGATTTTGTTCAAAACACTGCTTAACCTACCAAACAGCCTTACAGTATTAAACTTGTTTTGTTTGTGAAGTTTTATATCCCACATTTAATTGTAAAGTGAAGTCATATCTCATAGGAAGGAAAGAAAATTTGTACTTACTTTTCTCCAAGAGGTGGTGCAAGAACATCGAAGACTACGCATGGACTTGGATAGAGAAAATCAGCATGGTCTAAAGATATCCTCTCTGCTCCTACAATCTTCAATAAAACATGCTTGTAGCGTTTTTAACTAGTATTTATAACTAAACAAACACATGGGGAGAATACAAACCTCAACTGTATAGTTTCCTTGGACAAAGCTGACCGGGGGACTCCCATCGGAATTGCACAACACTTGAAATTGTAGAAGCAAAAGAAAGTTAATCTTCAGCTCGCTAAATAACTATCATTTGCTGCTCTAAACAATAAAGTTAATCAACATGCAATTCAATGAGATATTGAGTGCTAGACTTGGTAGTTTACACACAAGGAAAGAATCACAAAAGTCACGCGAATTTGATACATACGCAAAATCAAACCTTGACAGTCAATGCAGCACATATAAACCCCTCAAGTAACATAACAGATTCAGGTTGTAACCAAGGATCAAGAGAAATCAATACATTCTTTTTTGCAGGGAGATTGCAATACATTCAATGATTCTTACCTCTTTCATAAATAGTCACAGGAATATCCTTATGGGAAAAGTTGATTGCAGGATTTAATAGAAGATAAAAGGCTGTTCCATTAGCATCCATCAACTGCATAAAATAGTACAAGGGAAAGGTTATGCAGGGAGTAAAATTAGATCAAACAAACATCCATTTTGACAAGTATTCTCTCAATCATATATTCTCAGCCAAAATCAATTTTCCACCATTCCATCCATCCATAAAAACAAGCTAGAGCTCTACATAAAGTTTAAGAACAGTGTACATCCCAGCATAACTACTATTCTTGACTATTTCATCAGCTGTAATCATTTCGCATACTAGTTAAACTCAGACTCTCCAAGAACTTAAAATAATGCTAAAACTATATCCCAATGTCATGTTACCTCATCAAAAATTTCAGTTTTCATTCTCAGGAGTGAACATTGTATCCTCAAATGTTAAACTTTGAATACAACCTTATTAGAAGCAAAATGTGTTTACAATGATTAGGTTATGGCAAGAGGTTAACGACCATCAATACTATAATGAGGGAGTCCCCAACCTTCCGCAAGCACTAAAAGCTACTTTATCAACTTATGTTGTAAGTATAAACATGCGAAAATAATTACATGAATAAAAATATGGCACGTGGATGTGAGTGTTTGCATGAGCGAGGAACTCTTATCATTTTCCTCTTGTTGCAAGCTAAGTCCATGATACACCTTTTTTGGTTTGCATTCAAACCAGTAGCCACTGGGATTTTTTTAATACACAGATTCACTGCTTGGCTTGCATGGAAAATAATTTATTTTGCTTTTGCTTAGGGTTCTGAAAAGAGTAGAAGCAGATTTCCAACAAAGTTAAAAATGTACTTTATATGGAGAAGGAAATTTTCTGTTAGGAGACTTTCAACAGTGAAACATTCTATTAGGAGACTTCCAACGGTAAAACTTTCTACTAGGAGACATTCAACGGTGAAACTTTCCATTAGGTGATTTCCAGCAGGATGAAAAGAAACTTTCAGCATGTAGCCAGTTAGCTTTGGGTGATGCATGCCTTAAAGGACTTCCAATATGAATTGTGTTCAGCAATCAAAACAATCATATCAAGAACTTTTACACAATGACTTTCTATATCAGACTACATATTCATAAGGTAGAAAAAAAATGCATGAAAACTCATCTTCACCTTCATGCATACAAAGCTGTGCTAAAGCTATGCATGGTCATGCTAGACAACAGAATAGCTGCTTTCTCTACGGGTGTAGATATAAGCACGTGTCTAACAAAGGGTGTTCTCGCAACAGGGATTTCCAGCAGACATTCCAATCATTAATTGTTGTCCACACTGAACATCCCAACTAGTACCATGCCAAGCACTAAAAGCACTCGAACAAATAGAGTTGATTTAAATGGTTATAAATACTGACGGTCTGGTGGATTTGCATGTCGGTGTAGTCCCCATGGTGGATTCCCGTGTCGGTGGCGTGCACATTGGTCCCAATGGAGTACCACCCGAGAACGGACAAGTCAGGGAAGGCCTTCTTGTCTGCACAAAAACAACCGCAAGAAACAAATTAAAATCGATCGATGGATAGATGGATAATCAAACCTTAGCTAAAAATGACGGGGAGAGGACTTGGGGTACGTTACAGATCTCCTGATCCTTCTCCAGTAAGGCGCGGTCGAAGGTTCCGGGGTCGGGGTCGTGCAAGATGTCGAAGGTATCGGAGATATCCACCGTCCCACCACGCCGAACCCCAATAACGCACCCAGACATCCTCGCTTGCTGGTATTGGTCATCGTGGAGATGGACGAACTCGCGGATGCGGTGGGATAATTTCAAGACAGCGAGGGGGTGGAGCCTGAAGGTGAGCACGTCAACGGCGCCGGCATCGAGGGCGTCCTCATGCGGCGGCATCACCGCACCGGAGGCCACGCGCCGAGGGATCCCTAAAATGGCGGCGGAGCGGATGGGGGAGAGAGGAGAAGAGGAATCGCGTGACCTAGACCCAAGGGGATGTGGGGTTGAGCTTCTTTTTTACCACGAATCTAGCGATAGTTCCCCAACGGGACCAGTCAAGAGTACTACTCCAGTGTACTACTACTGCTACTACAAGGGAAGGCCGGTCCAGCTGCGCTCAAGGATGCAGGATGCACGTACACGTTCTGTCATCCAAGTTGTAGAAAACCACACACACTTTAACACTGGGCGCTTAAGAACATATATTTTCGTAATGTAGTTTCACAAAACCACATTATCAATGAATGGATTCACCCGTGATATGACGTGGTTGTTCCACTTAGGATAAGGATGTGACATTATTATCAGCCATCGCACGAAATTAATAGGATGCCACGTTCTTATTCTAGGTGAAACAACCACGTCATCTCACAGTTGAATCCATTCATTGATACCATGGTTTTCTGAAACTACACTACCAAAAAATATGTACTTAAGCGCCAGTGTCAAAAGTTTGTGTGGTTTTCTGCAACTTGGATCACAAAACGTGTAGTTTTGTGAAATTTACTCTTTATTTTATTTGTCTCAGAATATAAGAAAATTTTGTCCTTACTAATTATGAAGGATTTTGATACACTACTCCTCCCATCCCAAAATAAATACAGTTTTGTATTGTTCATATCTAATGTTTAACCGTTTATCTTATTTAAAAAAAATATGATTAGCATTGTCGAGGAGTGGTCCTCTCTAGCAGGTGATCGAGAGATCCCCTTTTGTGAGTTCGGCCGGGGGAAAGGGTACATTGATCGAGATCGTGTATCCGCCTCGAGTTCTTCGAGATCGTGCACAGGTGCCAAGATTATACAGGTTCGGGCCGCTATGTAGCGTAATACCCTACTCCTGTGCATGGGATTTATGGTTGAGTGTCACAAAGGTTCCTAAACACTAGGGAGCACTCTCGCTCTTCTTCCCCTGAGGTTTAGGCTAACTGAGAGCCGTCCTTTTCCTCGGTGGGCAAGGTTCTTCTTTTATAGTTCAAGGGGATACCACATGCACCACCTCTACCTACTCCTTCACGGGAAGGGGACCCACTCCGCTTAGACCGGACCACAATTCGTGCCTTCGCCCGAAAGCTAAGCAGCCGTCCGTCCTCGAGTGGGGCCCAGCGCCGCCCCCCGCCTGACACGGGGGACACCCTTGTCATTCCCTCTTAAATGAATGGAGACTTGTGGCGGTCCATCTCGCGTGGAGGGGGCTCTAGATGATGCTTCGATGGGACGGGGCATACCTGCCCCCACTCCGCCGGGTACAGGGTGGAGCGTGGGGGCACTGCCGCCCGTCCGATCGGACGTGACCGGCGACAGGCCGGTCACAGTCTGGTCACGCCCGATTGACGTGGGTCAATCGGGCAGCGCCGCACGTCCGCCCTTACCGCATTAAATGCGGTGAGGGACGGTTGGGGCGCCGTGCATTGATGGCGATTCGGCCTGAGTCTCCGCCCCACTCGCTCCTCTCGCCACGTGGCGGTTGGGCGAGGGCCTCGGGACGAGGCAGCGCGAGGGCCCGAGAGGCGTGACGTGGCACCCCGAGGTCCCCTGGCTGCCTCCGCGTCGTTCGAGGTGTGGGGGGAAGGCCAGGCTGTAGGGCCGCGTAGCTGGATGGGGAGGTGACTCCCCCATACTTCGCATACCCCGGACCTGTATCACCGACAAGCATATTTTATTATTAGATGATAAAACATAAATAATATTTCTTTATGTATGACTATTATTTTATTTTTTTTCATATTTTTTTTTAAAATAGACAAACGGTCAAACGTTGGATATCCATTTTGGTACGGAGGTAGTAGTACTTATCATATCCATCAACTTCAGTTTAAATTTATACCTATTTTAATTTAGCCCTCAACTACCCACTCACTTACAACCAAATCTCATTTAATAGGGGTATTCTAGCTAGTTTTTCCTTACTATCCTTAATTTTACTCTTTTTTTTAAAAAAAAAGTGGATAAACTCTTTTGGTACGGGAAGCAGGGGTGTTTGGGTGAGAGCTCTCACCAAAATATGAGGGACTTTTTATATTTTAGTGAGATTCCCTCTCACTCAAACACCCCCTTAATTGCTTGCGTAGTTGCAGGGGCGGATTCACAATGGGGGCGGAGGGGTCTCGAGACCCACTACCGCCCCCGGGACAGTGGAGACCCCCCTAAGCCCCCACTAAATTTTTTTCCATAGATCCATAGGATGTGGGGACTGGAGGTTCGATTTATGCTGATGTAGTTTATTCAGCCCCCACTACTATTTTTTTTCTAGATCCGCCACTGCGTAGTTGCATTGTTTCAGCTGTTTTGATTGGCGCGTACGTGCGAATGCGGCCGGTCTCCAGGTATACGTAGCATGCAAGCGGTGGTGGATCTAGAATTAATTTTTCTTGAGAGCCTGGTCAAAGCCTAAGCGAATGGGCTAGATAAATATTATCTTTATCAAGAATAGATAATGGGTGTTGGAGAGCTGTGTGTAGCTTTGGCCTTATGCTCATGACAGCAAAAACGTTGGTGTGAAAGAAACAGATTAAGCAGCGGTATTAAGTGGTAATTCACTGACTAGCTAATATGGCGATGGCGGAGCCCAGGCACCTGCCCTAGCTCCGCCACTGAATGCATGTGTTGTCCTCTGGTGGTCCATCAGTCCATGTGGGTCCATCCAAGCTACAACTACTTTGTAAAGTGAAAATATAAAATGCAAATCACGTATATAATGGAAACTTGAAAACTACCGTTGGATCGAGAAATGGACGTCCGAGATTCGTCTACGTCACCATGAGTTAAAATTTAACTCGCAAATTCACTCATGAGTTAAAATTTTACTGGGAGTTAAATTTTAACTCACGGTGACATGGACAAATCCCGGATATCCATTTCTCGATCCAACGGTAGTTTCCAAGTTTCCACTACATATATAGTTTGCACTACATATTTTCCCACGTTGTAAATGCTCAATGGGAGCTTCATTGTAAATGCTCTAACTATACTCATTATCTACATATTCCGTATGTTTGATAATGCATGTCTAGGAATTTTAGTTACCAGATTAGGACGACCTTAACTCAACATTTTTCTGTTTAAAACGGAAATCTCAGAGAGGTAATTAATTAAGTGTAAAATATCAATCGAGCATTAAAATCCATTCGATTAGTTTGCTTTGTTTAATTTTACAGCACATTCAACTACAGTTCATATATGGTCGGGCCCTAGCTCCGCCACTGCCTGCAAGTGTTGTCCTCCGTTCCATATATGTGGGTCCATCCAAGCTACAATTACAGTACATTCTAAATGCTCAATGGAAGCTCTAGAGTCTGGTTAGGGAAGCTTAAGATTATAAGAAGCGGCTGGTTAGTAACCAGCTTGACGGAGCGTGGGGCTCCTCACCGGGAGACCGCGCAGGCCCCCCTTTGCCGGTTCGGCCGGGGACTCAGGGTGAGATTCTAAGCTCTCTGTATGTGGAAGGCTCGCGAGACAGGAAACACACAAGACACGGGTGATGTATACAGGTTCGGGCCGCTGAGAAGCGTAATACCCTACTCCTGTGTTTTGGGAGATCTGTGTATGAAGGAGCTACAAAGTATGAGCCAGCCTCTCCCTTGTTCTGGGTTCCCCATCTGGAAAAGTCCAGTCCCCCCTCTCAGTGGGCAAGGTCCTCCTTTTATATCTTAAGGGGATACCACATGCACCCTTTCTCTCTTTTTTGTGGGGACTTACCCCACCTTTTCATAAATGGACGGAGATTTGTATAGTTGCCGTCCGAGTCACCTTCTGATGAGACGGCCCACAACTACCTCCACTTTCGCCGGGAGCAGATGCGACGTGGAATCGTGGCTGTCTGCTGACGACATGACCGGTGTCAGGCCAGTCACGTCGGTCATTCTTGTCCACCACATGTCAGCTTAGCAATCTACATGTTCGCCCTTCTTCACACAACATCTTGCCTGTAATGGTTAGGATGAAGCCTGGCATATATCTGACTAGGACTAACGTGCCATCTCTGGGAGATAACACGCTAGCTCCAGCTGGGGACGAGCGCCTAGAAGCCCTCGTCCTGACGGGATGGGGCGAGGCGTGCGTCAGATCGCCTGTCGCCACCTAACCCGCGATCTGACCGGTCTGTGACTGGTCACAGACCGGATAAACGAGTGCACTGCACTGCGTTACATGCGGCGTGACACGCTCAGCCAAACCGCAATAAATGTGGTTAGGTGAGCCCCACTGTGCTCACCTAACCCATACACGCGGAGCAAAAACCCACAAGGGGTCGGGGCGCCTCGGCCCTCGGGGCGAGGAGGGCGAACACATCACCCTCGGGCCCGACGCCCCCCGAGGGTGCCAGGCCACGTGGACGATTGTGTCTGCCTCAAGCCTCTAGTCATGATACTCCCGGTCCCATGTCACCGACAGTAGCCCCCGGCGTTATGCCAGGGCGATCGCCCTCCCCGAGGGAAGCGGTCGGGCGTGACGCCACTTCTAAGGCCTGGTGACAGGTGGGGCCGGTTCCTACAGGTGACGTCGAACTACATCACCCAGAGGGCGGTGTGAGGCAGCTGCGATGGGCTCGAGCTGGTCTCGGGGGCGGAGACGAGCTCGGGAGCTGGGGTCCACTCCACCACAAAGTCGGCGAGGGCCTGGCTCTTGATCGCGTGGCTTGGTTCAAAGCGCAAATCGAATTCAGAGAGTTCGATTGCCCATTTCACCACCCGTCCAGTACCCTCTCGGTTATACAAGATTTGGCCGAGGGGATAAGACGTAACCACCGTGACCCGATGCGCCTGGAAATAATGGCGCAACTTCCTCGAAGTTATCAGGATAGCGTAAAGCATCTTCTGGGCCTGAAGGTATCGGGTCTCAGCGTCCCGGAGGGCCTCGCTAACGAAGTAGACGGGCCGCTGCACCTTTCGGCGGGGCCGATCTTCTTCGTTAGGGGCCACATCTCCAGGGCGCTCTCCATCCGAGAGGCCACGCGGGGCGCACTCGGCTTTTGTGCCGACGACCTCGGGGTCAGAGGGCGACAGGCGCGGCCTTCCCGCAGTGGCCTCGGGGCCATCCTGGGGGTCGGGGGC